CGTGCTCTGGTCCAGGGGGTCACGAAGAGTTGGACACGACTAAATGACTAAACAACAACAACAACCTTGGTTCTCAAACTTAATCCGTTCCGGGAGTCTGTTCGACTCCTGAAACTGTTTGAAAACCAAGGCGCAGTTTCCGATTGGCTGCGGGAGGTTCCTGCACTCAAGTATTGGACATTCGTCTTCCGAAAAACGTTCGCAAACCAGACTCTCACTTCCGGGTTTGCGGCGTTTGAGAGCCAAGCCGTTTCAGTACCAAGGTACCACTGTACTGTGAGACTGACCAAAATACGACAAAACGTTTTCTAAAACGGCAAGTGCAGAAGTTCCCAGGATTCTTTGCGGGAAGCCAGGGCCGTTTAAAGCGTTGCGATACCGCTCTGAATGTATAGGGCAGGTTTTAACCATCTAGCGGCTCTATCCTGAGCTGGGCGCAGCTTCTGAGACATCTCCAAGGGCAGCCCCAAGTTGACGGCATTGCAGTAATCCGGAGGGGAAGGGAGGAAGGTTCAGAGCGGCAGGTGTTGCCGTCAATCTGTTTGCCAAAGGTGGCTTATCTGGAAGAGTGGAACTCCTTTCCAGAACCGGACAAGGATCAACATCCCGGGCAGATGATCAAAAGGCGCACCGACGGCAGCTTGGTCTGGTTTATTGACAGCAACCCCTGAAAAGGCCTCACGCTTCAGTTCAACACATTTTAATACAGTGGTACCTCGGGTTAAGTACTTAATTCGTTCCAGAGGTCTGTTCTTAACCTGAAACTGTCCTTAACCTGAAGCACCACTTTAGCTAATGGGGCCTCCTGCTGCCACTGCGCCACCGGAGCACGATTTCTGTTCTCATCCTGAAGCAAAGTTATTAACTTGAGGTACTATTTCTGGGTTAGCGGAGTCTGTAACCTGAAGCATATGTAACCTGAAGCGTATGTAACCCGAGGTACCACTGTACTTTAAAAAAATGAGCCTTGCAGTGTATGGGTTCCCTTACGCCATTTCTGCTGAGGGGGTGTGGGCTGGACGTCTGCCCCACAAGCCCTCGCCTGGCGTCCCTGCTGCACTCGGTGCCTTTCGTGAGAAAACACAGCTTTCACGAAAATAAACTTTCCCAAGAAAGCTTTCTTCCGCCGCAAGCCTGGAGGGAAGTGAAACAGGATGACAGGACATTTGTCTTCTGCCCACCCCCCAGTGTCACAGAGACAGGGCCCAAGAGTCACCAGGACGGACTTGCGGCTGGCCCCATTTGTGGTTGCTTCCTGGTTCACTGCCCTTGCCCTTGTCGCCCCCCCCACCCCCACTTTTTGGGAGGAAGTCTTAGAAGGCCTTTTTACAAACCCTATCCCTGCTTGCATGCCCCGTTAATTTCCGGTGTGTTTTCTCGAGGCGTGGCCTTGTTAATCTCATCCTCATCAATCTTTATTACGGTCCAGAGACCCAACAAATCATTACAAAGCAATATACAATTCATACAGCCTACCTCCAGGTTAAACAAGCATTTTGTTCAGAATATAGGGATCATTGGTTCTTGCAACCACCGATAAAAACTTTGCCACTGCTAATGTTCTAGCGTTTGTCCGGTCTTCCAATAGGAACCTGACACAGTGAGCCTCTGATTTTCCCAGGAAAGGTACCCGCAAGGGTAATATCAGTTCAGCTCTGGCTTGCTCATATTTTGCACAATGCAACAAAATATGTTTTATGGAATCGATGTCTTGAGCACACGAGCAACGTCTTTCCTGGTAGGGAACTCCTCTCAACCTGCCATCCAACACTGCAGAAGGAAAGACGTTTAGTCTGGCTTTGGTGAAAAGCCTTCGATAATTTGGTACTGTCAGGTTTTTAATGTAAGATGTTAACTTAAAGACATGCCCATATTGTACTCCTACTGCCAGCGGACTACAGACTGCGTGCAATCGAGATCGCAAGTCACTGTGTGCATTGTCCCATAATCTTTGCTTTAACATCTTTTGGTCACCTTCATAACCCAGGTAATACGGTTGGGGGGGGTGACAAACCAATAGAGGTGGCTTTTTTAGCCATGGTGTTCTGTTAATCTCTTGCAGCAAAACCAGCGAGGGTTTTTGTTGTTAACCTTTGGAACTCTCTTCCGCAGGAGGCAGCGACGGCCACAAACCTACGCAGCTTTGGAAGAGGAATGGGCAAATTAATGGAGGAGAAAGGCTGCTGATGTCAGGAGTGGGTGCCAGGAGCCGCTCAGCAATAACTCGCACAACATTAGTTAACTCTTGTAATGAGTATGAGTTACTCGTGCGTAAACTGGTGCCTCTCTAGGCTAATTTGCCTTGTTAAACCTTTCTGACTGCACAGCCCTTTCTCATCGTGGCTGCCTCAGTCGCTGGCAGAATCCGTCAGTGGGCGTTTCTTGAACCTCTTCCAACATAAAAGTTGTTTGACACCCAGTCTCCTCCTCCTCTCACTGCGCGGGAGTCTTCTGCGCAGGGAGGGCGTAGGTAGCGGAGGACCTGTCCCCTCCTCACTGAGGTCCAGTGAAGAGTCCTGGAGCCCTCTCTCCGATTCCCCCATCTGCCCCCCTTTATCCCTGGTGTTGCGCTGATTTGCTTCCCCCTCTACTGAGCTGTTTCTCCCCCTGCTGCTGGGTCCTTCGCCAGCATCATCTAGGAGCCTCCCCTTCGCCTCTCGCTCCGATGTCAGTTCCCTGACAACTCTCTTCGTTCAACAAACCGAAACAGCTCAAGAGTACAGGCCTGGCGGGCACAGCAACTCTTCTTGGTCGATCTTGCAGTTATGTACTGAAGTTCTCACCCTGGGCCAGCAGGGGGATACTGTAGATAGTTTTCACTCAGGTCCACATATGCAAATAAGGAATTTGCATTCAAGACGTTCAGTGATTGGATAGTTACAGAAAGTTGTTACTGTTGCTTTGTAGTTAGGCTCTATATAAGCAGGCTGGCTGAACCCTTCAGTTCAGTTCTGTTCTGGCCTGTGAATAAACAAGAGCTGTTTGAAGAATCGCTGTGTTGTCTGATATGTTCACCCACAACTTAACACTTGCCCCAATGAGACAGTTGCAAAGACTGAAGGCCCTTTCCTTCCCGCTCTGAAACTCTCCTCCTCTCCCAGATCCTTACGAAGCAAGCTGAGACTACATCGTTGTGCCTGCCTTTGCTCCTCCTTCTTCATACCTCTTCTGGTTCTGGGAGACCAGGGAGGAGGGGAGCTAGTCACAGCAGGAGGGGGAGACCCCCTGGCTTCTTCGCCAGCCTGCTTCACCTCTGCCTCTTAGCTCCCATCCTCTTCTGCCTCTCATCCAACCTCCTCTTCTGCCTCTCATTCTGTTGTTTCTTTTCCAAAAAATTTTTATTAAGTTTTTCACAATTATAGCACCTATCAGAACATATAACACAAAAAGGAAGAAAAAAATAAAATAAAGAGAGCATCAAAAAGGAAAACAGTACAGTCCACCACCACAAAAGAAATAAACAGTAAAAGCAAACTTAATCCTTTAAAAGCCCATACTTCTTTACATGTTTGTTGACTTCCTCTATTCCCTTCCCTTCTGAATTTCCTTGTATCTGTATGTAACAGCTTTCCAATATCATTCTTAAACTAAAATATTTCTGGTTATGATCTAATTTATTCACTTTCCTTACTTTCTAACCCTCATTTATTTAATAAATCCTATTTTAATCCTAGGCCTATTTGGTACTTTCAAGTGCTTTCTAATTTTTTTATATTACAATATTTATTGAAATAGTCTTTAAATTTCTTCCAATCTTCTTGGTATTCCTCTTCTTTCTGGTTGCGGATTCTTCCAGTCAGGTCAGCTAGCTCCGAGCAATCCATCATCTTCATCTGCCCTTCTGCTTCTCGTTCTGGACTGCTCTCTGCCACAGCCTCTTCCCGCTCACGGAGACCAATCCCCTGGCCTGCCCCATTCATAAATATAGGGTAGCAAAGGGATGCAACAATTTCGGATTGGCTTCTAGAGCTCAGGTAGTCGGAGCACCTGCCTTTGTTGCAGGATTCACCCTGTGGGTTGCCTGAAGCGGGACAATTTCAATGTGGACGGCAGCGATCTAAACATTAAAGCCTTTGGAAGGAATCTTTCTTTTGAGTCTTTGTTCTCCAGCAACCGGGAGCCAAGAGAGCTGTTCTATTAGGGTTCTATTAATCTCAGCCTAACCCCAGCCAGTTTCTGTCTGCCTGAATTATTACACGCAAGCAGCCCAAGGGGCTGAAACTTGACATCACCTTCCTCCTCCTTAAGTCTCAATGTTGCCGTTGTGGAGCCCAGAAGAGAGGAAGATGGGGACCAAGCCGGAATCAGGTGGCCCTGCCTCTGATTGGCTCTGGTACCACCTGCTGTTGGCTCCCTGCCTTCCAACCTTTTGTTGTCGTTTAGTCGTTTAGTCGTGTCCGACTCTTCGTGACCCCCTGGACCAGAGCACGCCAGGCACTCCTGTCTTCCACTGCCTCCTGCAGTTTGGTCAAACTCATGCTGGTAGCTTCGAGAACACTGTCCAACCATCTCGTCCTCTGTCGTCCCCTTCTCCTTGTGCCCTCCATCTTCTCCAACATCAGGGTCTTTTCCAGGGAGTCTTCTCTTCTCATGCGGTGGCCAAAGTCTTGGAGCCTCAGCTTCAGGATCCGTCCTTCCAATGAGCACTCAGGGCTGATTTCCTTCAGAATGGAGAGGTTGGATCTTCTTGCAGTCCATGGGACTCTCAAAAGTCTCCTCCAGCACCAGAATTCAAAAGCATCCATTCTTTGGCAATCAGCCTTCTTGGTGGTCCAGCTCTCACTTCCATACATCACTACTTCCGACCTACCAGTCCCAATTTATTTATTTATTTATTTATTTATTTATTTATTTATTTATGGCACCCAGATTAAAATCTCCACCGCTCTGAAAGCACTGCCATTGATGTGTTGCTGGCTCCTGTCTGTTCAACCAGGCATTTGCAGGTTGCTAACCGCAGGCCTTGGTGGGAACTGGCTGGTCTACTGCAGCTTGCCATTGTCTGACTGCATTCTAGCTCAGTCGGTAGAGCACGAGACGCTTAATCTCAGTCGTGGGTTCGAATCCCACATTGGGCAAAAAGATCCCTGTATATTGGACCCTCATGGTCCTTTCCAAATGTGATTCTATGAAACAGGCTGGAGGGCGCTAGCTGAGGACAAACTGAGTTTTATGGGGCGCTGGTGTCTGAATTTGACAAAACTATGGGTGGACGCAAAGGGCTCCCCCCCTCCCTTTTATATTCCAAGAGACAGCCCTGCCACCATAAAGGTTCTTGCGTGTCAGGACAGTTTGACACATCTTCCATGTAAACAAGGGCCGTTGTGAAACAGTTTTAAACAAAAGAAGAAGGGAAAAAACCACACGCCCCAAAAGGCAAATGCATTTTGAGAAGTCGAGTCGGGAAAGGCAGTGCAAAACGTGCTTGTCTGAGCAGGCCGGGAAACATATAAACAGGTGCAAGTTGCTCATTGAAGGTTGCTTAGTGTTGAGGCCTGGTTTTGGGAAGAGAGAGAGAGATTGAGAGAGAGTGTGCTTTGACGTTTGATGCTTTCCTTGAACACCTGGCCTCAGGTATCGGCTGTGGCTCTTCGCCTCCGTGAGAGCTCTGCCGTCCCCAGTGGCGTAGCGTGGGTTGTCAGCACCCGGGGCAAGGCAAGTAATTTGCGCCCCCTAACCCGTGGATTTGCGCCCCCTAACCCGTGGATTTGCACCCCCTAACCCTAACCCCCAGATGTTGCGCCCGGTGCGGCCGGCCCCCCCTGCACCCCCCCACGCTACGCCACTGGCCGTCCCTGAGAAGCAGGTTGACTGCAGGCAACTGCAGCCTCCCCAGGTGCCGCCCACTGGGGGCCGGCTCTGCTATTAGGCAGGAGGAGGCCACACGCAGGCTGTACATTTCAAGAATCTTAGACCACTTTAAACCGGTTCCCCCGAATAATCCTGGGAACTGTAGTTTAAGGGTGCTTAAGAGTTGTAGGGAGGAGAGTCTATACCCCTCGCAGAGCTGCTACAACTGCCAGCATGGTTTAAGGAGAAATCCCTCTTCCCAGGGAACTCTGGGAAATGTAGTTCTGTGAAAGGACTCCTTGGCACTCCTAACGAACCACAGGTCCCAGGATGCTCTGGGGGAAGCCATAGACAGGGGTCAGCAAACTTTTTCAGCAGGGGGCCGGTCCACTGTCCCTCAGACCTTGTAGGGGGCCGGACTATATTTTGGAAAAAAAATATGAACGAATTCCTATGCCCCACAGATAACCCAGAGATGCATTTTAAATAAAAGGACACATTCTACTCATGTAAAAACACGCTGATTCCCGGACCGTCCACAGGCCAGATTGAGAAGGCGATTGGGCCGGATCCGGCCCCTGGGCCTTAGTTTGCCTACCCATGGCTTAGCGTGTCAGAATGCTGCTTTCACATGCGTCCCTCAGACGGGGACTGAGAACAAGCCAAATGCCAGCTTCCTTCAAAAAGCCACGGTGTCTGCCATCCGAATATAGTTGATAAGAACGGATCTCTCTTCCCAGGGAACTCTGGGAACATGGAGACTTGAGGAGGTTGAAGCAGGCAGGAGGAGGTTCTGGCTGAGACTGGTGGGGCACTGCCTCGTTTTATGTACAGTGGTACCTCGGGTTAAGTACTTAATTCGTTCCGGAGGTCTGTTCTTAACCTGAAACTGTTCTTAACCGGAAGCACCACTTTAGCTAATGGGGCCTCCTGCTGCTGCGGCGCCGCCGGAGCACAATTTCTGTTCTCATCCTGAAGCAAAGTTCTTAACCTGAAGCACTATTTCTGGGTTAGCAGAGTCTGTAACCTGAAGCGTATGTAACCTGAAGCGTATGTAACCCGAGGTACCACTGTATTTTGATTTGATCTGTTTTATTACAAACACATATTTGTTCTTCCAAGGAGCTCACGATTCTCCCCCTTTAATCCTCACGACAACCTTGCGAGGTAGACTAAGTTGAGAAGCAGTGACCGGCCCCGAGGCCGCCCAGCGAGCGGATTTGAACCCTGACCTCTCCCGGGCCATGGTCCGAGACTCTAACCGTTGCGGCCCCCCAGTCTCCGTTGGTGGGGCGCCTGATCCTGTTCAGTTTAAAAAACAAACCAGGAGGGAGCTGTACAATTTCTCAACATCTTGCAAACATTTCAGGAGGATGCTGGTGTCCACTCAAAAGACGAGGACCTCAGGCTGACCTCTGCGGTACGGCGCTCAGCAGTTCCCTCTTCCGCAGACCGGGAAATCGGAACCACGCCGCCACGGACTGCAGTTGTGGCTCCTTGTGTGGCAAGGCCACTGGCCATTTCTGCCCCTCGGTGGCTTCCTGTTCCTCGCCCTGCCGTGCAAATCCACACCTGCTCTGCTGATCCTTCTGGCAGGCCCAGTTTCCTGGAGCAGGGCAGGGTTGTGGGCGCCTCGTTCCTTGAAGCCACGAGGGCCCTTTCCTCGGTTCTTCTTCCCACCCCGTGGCCTGGAAACCGGGGCCTGCTGGAGAGGTCTGTGCCGTCTGCTTGGCTCGGCTCCACGAAGAATGTGCCTTCCTCTCCAAAGAGTGCTAGTGAAAGCACGAATTCTGCCACTCCCTCGAGCAGGGACAGCTCCTCCCAACACCTACCCCAAAGAGGAAGCAAAGTGGAAAGCCAGCTGGAGGAGAAAATATCTCAGCTCGTTCGGTGCATCTCGGAGACGTCTGCCTGCGCTGCCCGCCTGCCCCAGCCGGTGTGGCCCACCCTGCCTTCTTGATCGGGGCAGCCAGAGACGGGTGAGCACCCTGGGGAGGCCTGGGGGTGGGAGGGAAAGCCACTTAGCCCCCTCCCCAAACTTGGGCAAACTTTCCAGCATCATTGCAGCCCAATTCATAGAGGGCACCGGTCTCCACCTGGGTGAAAAGGCAGGGAAGCTCTGTAGATCCTCTCTGTTCTCAGGGGTTCCTGCCTCTGTGTCCCCAGCGTAGCCTCTCAGAGCTTGCAATGCACCAAGGGTGCCTTTGAGCCTGGTCCTTAGGGGGTTTCCCCTCTCTCTGTCATCTTTTCTCCTCGCCTCGATCGCCTGCTTTCTTTTTCTGTCCCAGTTGCCAAAAGGTCTCAGGCGTGGAGGGAAGGCTCCTTGCAAAAAGAGCAGCCACAGCCCATGCAATTTTCTAGTCCTCATCGTGGCAGCTAAACCCACTGGCCAGACACAGTGGTGTGTGTGCGCGTGTGTGTGTTTGGAAAATGCAAAAAAAGAGGCTTAGAACCACAGATTCGTATAAGCGAAGACTGGTGATCGGCGGGGCAGTGTGGTGCAGTGGTTAGAGCGTTGGACCGGGACCTGGGAAGCCAGGCTTCAGATCCCCACTGGGCTATGAAGCTCGCTGGGTGGCCTGGGGCCAGTCACTGCCTCTCAGCCAAACCTACCTCACAGGGTTGTTGCGGGCATTAATTGAGGAGGGAGGAAACCGTGGATGCTGCTGTTGAATTCCGTAGAGAGAAAAAAGGGATGTGAATGCCATAAGTAAATAATACTCACCCTTTTAGCCATTCAGCGTTTCCCCCGTCAAGGCTCAAGACCACAAGATGTTTTGCTCGCGGCGTGTTGACATTGTCCGATGATGCAAAGGCTCCATTCTAAGCTGCAGTAATTCAGAGCAGTTTAAGCATCACGGCATTCTAGCCAGGCTGCTTTTATTGCAGGCAGAAATGGAAAAAGTGCAACCTTTCCCCGCACGGCCTGTGTCTCAGAATAGTGCCTTGCGTGGCGCAGCTGGGAAAGGGCAGAGCTTTGCGCTTGAGGATGAGTTGATACGTCAGTGCTGCTTGCTCTCGTTTTTCCTACTCTTAGGAAAGTTTGGCTCTCCACATTTCTGCACTTGTTTGGGACTCGTCCGGGAGAAAGCCATCAGTGTTACAGTGCAAATTTCCTTGACCTGGTCTTCCAAATATACACCTTCAAAAAGCATTATTTATTTACTTTATACAATTGATTATGCCGCTTGATTGTAAAACAAACAAACCCTCAAAGTGGTTTGCAAAAAAAGGATAAAGCAAAAATAATAATAAGAAGAAGAAGAATTAACAACCATGATTTAGGATTTGGGGAAAGTTAATAAGCTAAAAACTGGTGAAGACTCGCACCAACTTTCTAAATATCTATGTGTTTGTATCTCGTTTCCCTAAATTTTTGCATTTTCCCTGTAATATAATGTGCTTTGTATATGTTATCTTCTCCAATATGAGCACATATACCCTTACCAGATGTGTTTTTGTACTTGGTGGGAGAACTGCTTTGCAAAGTTCAGAGAGCTTTTCAAGAACGGCTGCATTGCTTCAGAGGAAAAAAAAAAAGAAGTTTAGCTTTAAATGGGAACTGAATTGAATTCATCCTTCCTCCCTCCTTGCAGAGTCATTCTATGCATGTTTACTCTGAGCAAAGGGCTTATAGCTCAGTTGGTTAGAGCGTGGTGCTGATATTGCCTGGGTTGCAGGTTCGATCCCCAGACGGGACAGCTGCATATTTCTGCATTGCACGGGGTAGGACTAGATGACCGTCAGGGTCCCTTCCAACTCTTATGAGCTCTCCCTGTCTCCGGAGCTTTTCCTGCGAAAACCCGCTCTTTAATGCTAAAGCACAACAAACGGCGATTTTGGCTTTCTGTGTATTGCTGTTTGTTCCAATTCTGCAGTAAAGAGCAGATTTCTGTGGGAAAATCTCTGGAGCTTAAAAAAATCAAAATGAAAGAGAAGTCGGACATGGAGCTTTAAAACACAGACCACACCTGGAAAATGTGGAGGAAGCGTACCTGCGGACGAGCCCCAAGCCCTCCCTCCTGCTCCCTCCCTCCTGGGAAGTATGCTTTTCGGCGTGAAAAGGTGCTTAGAACAGATCCGCTCCAGAACTCTCATTCTTGTAATTCAGGCTAGGACTGGTTCAGATATGGCTCACTTGCCAGAGGTTGAGTGTCAGAAGATTTGGGACAGTTTAAAAAGGTGCTTCTTCGGGCAGTGCAGAGTTAGACTATGGAACTCCCTGCCACAGGGATGGCCTGGATGGCTTTAAAAAGAGGATTAGCCAGACTCATGAAGGAGAGGGGCATTGATGGTTCCTAGCAATGATAATAATAAATAATAATAATACAGTGGTACCTCGGGTTACATACACTTCAGGTTACAGACTCCGCTAACCCAGAAATAGTGCTTCAGGTTAAGAACTTTGCTTCAGGATGAGAACAGAAATTGTGTGGTGGCGGCAGTGGGAGGCCCCATTAGCTAAAGTGGTGCTTCAGGTTAAGAACAGTTTCAGGTTAAGTACGGACCTCCGGAATGAATTAAGTACTTAACCCGAAGTACCACTGTAGTAATAATAATAATAATAATAATAATAATAATAATATAGCCACAATGGCTCTGCCCTGCTTCTATGGTCAGAGGACCATCTAAGACTACAGAAGGGGGAAGGTGTTGTTCTTGTGCTCGGATCCTGCTTCTGGGTTCCCCTATAGGGCATCTGCTTGTCCACTGTGAGAACAGGATGCTGGACCAGGTGGGCCGCTGGCCTGATCCTGGCAAAGGCTTCAGAAAGCAGAATTGTTGCCGGCTCCTGTTACCAGTACTTAACTAACAGTCTGCGTCAGTGCTGGGCACTTTTCCATGTTCCTGTGCAAACGGCAAAGTTAAAAACAAAACAGCGGGTTCCAGTCTTGACATCCACCCCCAGGTTAGGAATGTGTGGCATTTTGCCTCCTGGAAAAACCTGCCTGGATTCCCACCCTTTCTCTTTCTCTTTTCCAAGGACCTCGAAGATGAGGCTGAAGGTATTCTGGAAGGTGAAGGAGCGCTGGAAGAGATTTGAGGGCGCCCGCAGAATCCTCTGCGCCAGCAACGCTCCAGGAGCAGGTGAATGGTCTCTGGTAACGTCCCTGTGGTGGGAAAAAAACAGCATGGAACCCTAAGGCAGGGGTCAGCAAACTTTTTCAGCAGGAGAAATCCCTCTTCCCAGGGAACTCTGGGAAATGTAGTTCTGTGAAAGGACTCCTTGGCACTCCTAACGAACCACAGGTCCCAGGATGCTCTGGGGGAAGCCACAGACAGGGGTCAGCAAACTTTTTCAGTAGGGGGCCGTTCCACTGTCCCTCAGACCTTGTGGGGGGCTGGACTATATTTTTGGGGGGGGGAATGAACAAATTCCTATGCCCCACAAATAACCCAGAGATGCATTTTAAATAAAAGCACACAGTCTACTCATGGAAAAACATGCTGATTCCTGGACCGTCCGCAGGCCGGATTTAGATGGCGATTGGGCCACATCCGGCCCCCGGGCCTTAGTTTGCCTACCCATGCCCTGAGGAATAATCTTGGCCTGGCGGTCCACACCCAGGACAATTGTGTACTTAATCTGAGCATCCACTATTCCCCCGGCAGACGCCTGTGACAGCTGTGTGGCAGGCGGAAATCCAACAGGGGAAGCCCCTCCCCTTGCCACACCTCCACGTGGGGAAAAGGCTGGTTCAGGCCTCTCGGAGACTCGCCAGGTTGCTGAGGATAGGAGCCGCCGGCCGTGCAAAGTTGTGCCCACCTCTTTGGGGGTTGCTGGGGGCATGTTGCAGTTGGATCAGGGCCTTTCCTTGAGTAGCCATGTGTGTTGCCTGCTCTGCATTTGCGCAGCCATGTGCACCGCACGGTTTGCATAATATGTGCGGCAAGGCCCTGCGCATCAAAGCGTTTGGTGGAAACTGCCCCCTGAGTTCATCCCCTGTGGGAGCCACAACAGCTCTAGCATGGGGAAGCAGCGATAAAATAGGATGCGGGTGTTGTAAACAAAATCTGCCCTTCTTCCCTTATGGGGTATCCATGAGCCTGTACAGAGTCCTTAAGTGGGTTCCCTATCGGTAGGAGAAAATAACAGAGGCCAACCAGAAAATATTGAGAAGCAAAGCAGCTAGTAAGCTTGATCTTTATTAAAGCTATTGCAACAGAGTGCTCCCCTCACACGCAGGAGGAGGGAGGAGGACCCAGAACCAAGGTGTGCCTGCCCTTATTTTAATTTTAAATTCCCTGCCCTGGAGCTCTAGACCACCCCTCCATATATTATACATACATCGCGGAAGGGGTGTAACTCAAGACCACTCCCCACAAACATCATACCTACATCACAGAAAAGGTGGTCTACAACAGAAATTTGAATGTTGTTGTTTTTCCTGTCTGCTAGGTTATCTGATAATGCCTTATCTGATTGCCTTTCCTGGTAGTCTGGCCATTCTTTCGAAATGGTAATTACAGTGGTACCTCAGGTTACAGATGCTTCAGACTCCGCTAACCCAAAAATAGTACCTCGGGTTAAGAACTTTGCTTCAGGATGAGAACAGAAATCGTGCTCCGGCGGCAGCAAGAGGCCCCGTTAGCTAAAGTGGTGCTTCAGGTTAAGGACAGTTTCAAGTTAAGAACGGACCTCCAGAATGAATTTTCACCTCCTCCCTCCTTGCAGAGAAACATTTGGTCAGTTTGGGAGTCAAAATGGTTTCAGGGCTGTTTTCCTGTGCTGCTTCAGACATGCGGTCCACACATCTATGTACGTGCTTGGCTGGCACATCTATGAACATTTATTATATATCTAAGACCTTAAATTTCTTATAATCCTGGGTCACGGTGTCAGGATGGCAGCTGCCTGCTTGGAGGTCGCTCATTTGCAAACATTTGGCCCTGTACTTGTGGAGCATTCCAGCGCCTCTTCTCCTCTCCCGCCCCGAATCAATAAACACAGTGTCTGCCTGAAGCGAGAAATGGCCAGCAAGCCGCCAAGGAGATTTAAACAAACATTTTCCTGTCTCTGTAGCTTACGATGCAGCCCGGTGGGAAATGGAGGCTTTCTTGAGGAGGAGGAGGCCTCTGAATGGGGCCCGCCGATGTTCTGGATTCCCTGCTGGCTTTCTGGGGGCCCAAGGAAGGCCCCCCGCTTCCCTGGAGAATCGCACCCATCTCCAGAAAGAGCTGCAGGTAACTCTTCCGTCCTTTCAGCAGAAAGCAGGATCTTAAAATTTGGGCAGCTGCTGTGGGAGACTTCTGGGATGTGCCGTTTTGACCGTCAGTCTAATCCCACGGTCTTAGGGGGGTGCTGCGTCTGACCCCCGTATGTGGCTGTGCAGCCTCCTTCAAAGAGGATACAGTGGTACCTCGGGTTACATACGCTTCAGGTTACAGACGCTTCAGGTTACAGACTCCACTAACCCAGAAATATTACCTCGGGTTCAGAACTTTGCTTCAGGATGAGAACAGAAATTGCGCGGTGGCGGCAGCGGGAGGCCCCATTAGCTAAAGTGGTGCTTCAGGTTAAGGACAGTTTCAGGTTAAGTACGGACCTCCAGAACGAATTAAGTTCTTAACCCGAGGTACCACTTTAGTCCTCTATTTTAAAGCCATCAGAAGACAGGCCATCCGTTTTGAAGATAATGAATATCACTAATCATTAAAAACTTCCTTGTACAGGCGTACCTTGAAAGACAAACAGCTCAGTTCTCGGACGTTTTGGCTCCCGAGCGCCGCAAACCTGAAAGTGACTGTTCCGGTTGGCGAACTATTTTTGGAAGCCAAACATCCGATGGGGCTTCCGATTGGCTGCAGGAGCTTCGGGCAGCTAACCGGAAGCCACGCTTTGGTTTTGGAAGTTGAACGGACTTCCGGAAAGGATTCTGTTTGACTTCCGAGGTACGACTGTACAGGACTGCCTTCGGATGTCTCCTAAAAGTCAAATAGTGATCTCCTTGGCATCTGAAGGGAGGGTGCTCCACAGGGTGGGCGCCACCACCGAGAAGGCCCTCTGCCTGGTTCCCTGCAACCTCACCTCGCAGGGAGGTAACAGCCAGAAGACCCTCGGAGCTGGACCTCAGGGCTGAACGATGGGGGTGGAGATGCTCTTTTCAGTATATAGGGCCGAAGCCCTTTAGGGTCAGCACCATAAACCCTCAGACGTAGAGGATGGGTGGGTTGGCCATAAAGCTCTGTCTCGCAAATAGAAGCTTCTAGAGAACTTGTGCCTCAGGCTAAAGAATTTGCAGCACCCAGCTGTCTTCATCCTGTCCTGGTTTGCACCACCCCATTAAGGAATGTTAAGCTCACACTGGTTTCACGTGTGACGCTCTGTCAGCAAAGGCTGGACCATTAGAGAAACGAGACTATGATCCAGCCTGCCTTCTTACAACCAGCTTCCTCCAGCCTTAGTCTTTTCGTTGCTCCTTGGGGAGGAAGAGGACGGGGTCGAATCTAGACTTAGTTGGCTCCAACGGCCGTTTGCCTCTGGCTCCCCCTACTGTTGGCTCCCTGCCTCCTGCCCAGCCATCCCTTTGGGAGTTAAAGGTAAAGGTAAAGGGACCCCTGACCATTAGGTCCAGTCGTGGCCGACTCTGGGGTTGCGGCGCTCATCTCGCTTTATTGGCCGAGGGAGCCGGCATACAGCTTCTGGGTCATGTGGCCAGCATGACTAAGCCGCTTCTGGCGAACCAGAGCAGCGCACGGAAACGCCGTTTACCTTCCCGCTGGAGCGGTACCTATTTATCTACTTGCACTTTGACGTGCTTTCGAACTGCTAGAATCATAGAATCATAGAGTTGGAAGAGACCACAAGGGCCATCGAGTCCAACCCCCTGCCAAGCAGGAAACACCATCAGAGCACTCCTGACATATGGTTGCCAAGCCTCTGCTTAAAGACCTCCAAAATGTTGGAGGTTGGCAGGAGCAGGGACAGCAACGGGAGCTCACCCCGTTGCGGGGATTCGAACCGCCGACCTTCTGATTGGCAAGTCCTAGGCTCTGTGGTTTAACCCACAGCCCCACCCGCAGCCCCCTCTATTTCTTCACCCCTCGCTGATAACCTCTGGCCCACATGACGCAGAGGGGCTATCTGGCAGATCTACTGCAGCCACCTCCCAGTTTCCACTGAAAGCATCTTGTTCGTCCAGTCCCTCATACCTCCCTCTGGACTTAACTTTTAGCCCACGAAGGATCAAGAGGAGAGCCACTGCAGGAGACGGCCGGCCGAGTCCAGCAGCGAAGAAGGAACCCTAATGGCTTCGTACAAGGTCCAAGTGGCAACCGGGACGTTCTGGGGCTCGGGGACATTCGACACCGTCTCCATCACCCTGGTGGGCTCGAGGGGCAGCAGCCCCAAACAGACGTTGAACAACACGGGAAAGGACTTCGCCCCCGGAGCGGTGAGAGGATCTTCAGAGGTGGACTTTGGGGTGGAGGGAGGCAGGGACTTTGGGGGGGCTGAGAAGGTCGCCTCTCCACTGTAATTCTTTTTATATATGTAAATAATTTTTATTAGTTTTCCATTTAACAATATATAACCACATCATTATTATCTGAAGGAGCGTCTCCGCTCCCATCATTCTGCCCGGACACTGAGGTCCAGCGCCGAGGGCCTTCTGGCGGTTCCCTCACGGCGAGAAGCCAAGTTACAGGGAACCAGGCAGAGGGAGTTCTCGGTGGTGGCACCCGCCCTGTGGAACGCCCTCCCACCAGATGTCAAAGAGAACAACAACTACCAGACTTTTAGAAGACATCTGTAGGCAGCCCTGTTTAGGGAAGCTTTTAATGTTTAGTAGGTTATTGTATTTTAAGGTTCTGTTGGAAGCCGCCCAGAGTGGCTGGGGAAACCCAGCCAGATGGGTGGGGTATAAATAATAAATTATTATTATTATTATTATTATTATTATTATTATTATTATTATCCACTTTACCTCTCTGGCTCTCTAGAGCAGGGGTTGGCAAGGTTTACCTCGCCTGGGCTGGCTCACTCCCTCTGTGAGCCGGATTGCACCCACGATTTCCGGTGTCTGTGTCTGCACGCGATTTCTGGCACCACGGAAGCAAATCCCTGCGGGGACTCACTGAGCGGGCAGCTCAGTTTGGGGGCGGCTCGTGGGCCAGTTAAACGACCCCCGTGGGTCGCTTGTGGCCCTTGGGCCTTAGGTTGCTGACCCCTCCTTTAGAGCCTGTCCCCTTCCTTCCCTCCCACCTCATAGATTTCAGAATTAACCTTTATATCATAGCATTCTATACGTTTTCCAATTCTAATTACACTCATTATGAAATTTAAATAAATATAAAAAGGAAAAAAATTATCATTACAGTGGTACCTCGGGTTACATACGCTTCAGGTTACAGACCCCGCTAACCCAGAAATAGTGCTTCAGGTTAAGAACTTTGCTTCAGGATGAGAACAGAAATCGTGCTCTGGCGGCACGGCGGCAGCAGGAGGCCCCATTAGCTAAAGTGGGGCTTCAGGTTAAGAACAGTTTCAGGTTAAGTACGGACCTCCGGAACGAATTACCGGTAAGTACTTAACCCGAGGTACCACTGTACAAGTCTCCAGACAACCCTTCTAGTGATGTTAATTGCTTACAATGTTCTTTCAAATATTGTATAAATTTATTCCAGTCCTTCTGGAATATTTGATCATGCCAGTTTCGGATTTTTCCTGTCAAATTCGCCAGTTCTGCAAAGTCCATCATCTTCATCTGCCACTCTTCTTTCATTGGTCCTTCTTGTAGTTTCCGTTTAGAATTCCACCTTTCAGTCTCTTCCTTTCTTTTTTCTCTGCCCATTTTTAGCAATATAATACAGTCCAATAATCAACTGCTACGTTATTTAAAATCCCTCTCTTTTAACTCTCAATTCCCCCCGTTGCTGTTTGAGTCAGTGGGACAGTGGTAGCAACGGCAGTACTGTCTTTAAAATCTCCTTTTCCCACTGAGCCTTGTGCCTTTTCTTCTGTGTTGCAGTCATGTACAGTGAGAGTAATTCCCACGGTTTTCCTATCTGGCCCCCTGGGGTCTAATCTCCAATATCCAGTCGGCAGGCTTTAGTCTTATACTGTATTTTTTGCCCTATAGGACGCACCGGCCCATAGGACGCACCTAGTTTTTTGGGGGGGAAATCAAGGGAAAATTTTTTATTTCCCTCCCAGGTTTGCGCAGCCATCCCCAAGCTGGAAGAGAGAGACGGAGCGCTCCGTCTCCCTCTTCTGCCTTCAGGGACAGCCTCTCTAGCCTCCGTGGGGCAGCGGCTTGCCCCGCTGTCCCCCGAGCTTGTGGGGCTGGCGGGGGGGAGAAGCAAGCTTGCTTCTCCCCCTCGCCAGCCTCCAGACCAGGTCGAGGAATAGCGGGGTGGCGGCGCTGCGCCTCCCCACTGTCCCCCGAGCTTTTGGGCTGCAGGCTGCTGCCCGCAAGCCTTGCGAGCCCACGGGACATCCTGCCGGGCTTGCAAGACTTGCGGATAGCTTCCTGAAGCCTGGAGAGCGAGAGGGGTCGGTGCACACCGATGCCTCTCGCTCTCCAGGCTTCAGCGAAAGCCTGCATTCGCCCCATAGGACGCACACACATTTCCCCTTCATTTTTGGAGGGGAAAAAGTGCATCCTATAGGGCGAAAAATACGGTATATCCCCCAATTAGCAAAAGTTAGGGGGTAAAACAAGCTGGACACTTTACTGCTGCTCGAAGGCTTCTGGTTTTTTAATAAAAGTATTTTTGAACATTTTCTTTAACTCATTATCTATCATTTCCCAAAAAGCCTTTACCTCTCTACAAGTCCACTACATGCAGTAAACTTAACACCTTCCTTCTGCAACCTCCCCCAAGATTCTAGCTGAATATTATATCCAAAATCTTTAGCCCACTGTATCACCACCCCTTTAACCTCTTCATCTTTAGTACGCCATTCCAGTAATAGTTTATACTACAGTTTAATAATAGTTTAAATGTAGAATGTATAAAATGTCTACACTGTAATTCTTGACTTGCAAAGCAGCAGGAGCATAGCTGTCAACGTTTCCCTTTTTTAAAGGGAAATTCCCTTATTCCAAATAGGATTCCTCGCAAGAAAAGGGAAAAGTTGACAGCTATGAGCCTTGACTCTTCCTGCCTCTCACTTCACATTCCATGTGAGGTGTTCGGCTGGAGGGGCTTGCTTTGACTAAAACAGCCCCACGGCCAAAATTGAGGGAGTCCACATGGGCCAAAAATAGGCCCACGGACCAGAGCTGCTTTAACAGATCCATAATCAAACAGGTGAAGTCCTGCTTCCTGGTGTCGTGGCGAATCAGCGGCTGTCCCGTTTCTTTCCGCAGGTGGATGAATACAAGGTGCCCAGCGATGAGGAGCTGGGCCCGATTCTGCTGGTCCAGCTCCACAAGGAACCCTACCTCTTCTTCCCCGAGGATAGCTGGTACTGCAACTTTGTCCAGCTCGTCACCCCACAGGGAGAGACGTACCGCTTCCCCTGCTACCAGTGGATTGAGGGGTACACGACCCTGGAGCTGAGAGAAGGGACAGGTGAGGTGCTTGTAGCATCCCTGCAGAGAAGCCCTTCGCTGGGACGGCGACACAGGGCCAACTCTCCCAGGTCACCAAGTCCCTTCTGCCGGGAATCACAGGGATAGTGTCATCATCCCACCCCATTGGTTAATAATAATAATAATTTATTATTTATATCCCGCCCATCTGGCTGGGTTTCCCCAGCCATATCTATTAAACATTAAAAGCTTCCCTAAACAGGGCTGTCTTCAGATGCCTTCTAAAAGTCAGAGAGTTGTTTATTTCCTTGACATCTGATGGGAGGGTGTTCCACAAGGCGGGAGCCACCATCGAGAAGGCCCTCTGCCTGGTTCCCTGTAGCTTCACTTCTCGCAGGGAGGGAACCGCCAGAAGGCCCTCGGAGCTGGACCTCAGTGTCCGGGCAGAACGATGGGGGTGGAGATGCTCCTTCAGGTATACTGGGCCTTTGAGGCCGTTTCGGGCTTTCAAGGTCAGCACCAACACTTTGACTTGTGCTCGGAAACGTACTGGGAGCCAATGAAGGTCTTTCAGGACCGGTGTTATGTGGTCTCGGCGGCCGCTCCCAGTCACCAGTCTAGCTGCCACATTCTGGATTAGTTGTCGTTTCCGGGTCACCTTCAACGGTAGCCCCACGTAGAGCGCATTGCAGTAGATAACTAGAGCATGCACCACTCTGGCCAGACAGTCTGCGGGCAGGGAGGGTCTCATCCTGCATACCAGATCGAGCTGATAAACAGCTGCCCTGGACACAGAATTGACCTGTGCCTCCATGGACAGCTGTGAGTCCAGAATATGTATCGTATGTGAACTCCTGGAGGTGGCTGGCATCTGTCAGGCCACTTCCCTCCAGAAAATAATTCCAGACTGTGGCCCCGAAGACAGTGCTGGGGGGGCTGGGGGCATTTGAGCTCCTGGGAAGGTTCGTAACTCAGAGGAAGAGTATTGCTTTGCATACAGAAGGTCTGAAGTCCAACCACCGAGATGCCAAATATTGGGAGGGGTCAAACCCTATAAAAACCCCTAAGTCTGTTGTAAATACAGTGGTACCTTGGTTTACGAACTTAATCAGTTCCGGAAGTCTGTTCTTAAACCAAAGCATTCTTAAACCAGGTTTGTCTTCCTGATTTGATCCTGCCTTGTCATACGGGGCTGCAGTTGGAGATCTGGATCTATGCATTTAAATGAGCCTCCCACCTTCCTCTTATCCACTAGGCAGTTAGGGGATATGGGCCACAAATGTAGTCCCGCCGACGTCTCATTGTGTTCATTCTTCTTGACCAGTCTGCTTCTGAGTATGTCTAGTCTATCCAAGATTTCGATTTGAGCTGAGGGCTGCAATGACCAGAAACGGTTTATTAAGGCGTATTCTTCCGCAGAAACGGAGTCCTCGCTGTCTCTTGTAGGAGGCTGAATATCACGGCGGGATGTATCTTTCATTTTTAAAATTGGCGGATCTTGTTTGTGATGGTCCGGCTGGCTCATTTGGGATCCGTTTTGTTGTTTAGGTTTTTCCCCTTTTTGATCCTCTGTTCCTAGCATCCTATCACCCCTGGGAGCCACAAGGGGAGCTATTGGTCTTAAACCAAGGTGAAGTGAAGGCATGAGGTGGGAGTTGGTAATGCAGGTGAGCTGTGCACAGGCAAGCTGCCAGCTAGCTCTGCTGAGGCTCTTTTTATTAGCACAATATGCAAAATCAGTCAGATACATTTTGGACTGTGACCTTTACATATCTTCCAGTCCCGAGATCAAGAGGTGGTACAAAGTTATTCTGGCACCTGTTTCCACCGCGTCACTCTCCTCTTGCACAATGTATGACGAAGCAGACAAATGTCACAGACGGCACGGCAGACCACTAAGAGAGCAAAGGTTAGATAGAGGGCATGATGTTCAGACAGCTGTGGCTTTGTCTGTGGGTGGAAATGTGCTCCACACCCAGTGGACATTCCTTCACCAAGGCGTGGTTTCCCATAGCAGTGGGGGACTCAATTTACAAAAATTTACAACAGGAAGCAGAACGTGTTCTTATTCCAAGGCAAAGTTTGCAAACCAAAACACCTCCTTCCGGGTTTACAGCATTCTTAATCCAAGTTGTTCATAAACTAAGCTGTTCTTAAACCAAGGTACCACTATAAAACTCAGGACCTGGGAGGAGATGAAGTCCGGCCATTTATTGATCCGTCAGGGTATGTTCCTCCAGGTCCCGACCCCCTCCTCATGGCAAGAGGGGGTATTTATAACTTTTTCACAAAGCATTCTAATTTCATCCAGTCACGTACATTATTGCCTCACTCAAGTTGTTAGATGCGTTTCAGGTTAGTACGCTTGCGCAATGAGCATCGGCTGTTTCTGCTGACACAGCTTTGATTCCCACCCATGGCCTCCACACTGTTGCAAAAGCCCCTGTGGTTTATGGGAACCTGCGTTCTGTGTAGCCATTTGCGTTCTGCTGTGTGCTGTGTTCCTTCTTGTAGCAACTTACATTCTAGCTTTGTGCTATATATTGTGATTTACAAATTAGCTGTATTTCTGCCCCGAACTTGCAGAATCAACAGTTTCTTAAGGCAGCAGTTTCTTAAAGCCACTACCATAATTTCCCTATTAGCCGCACACTCAGGGTTTCACAGGGGTACACATATTGTGGCCCTTTGTGCCACCCCCACACCGGTAGGGCTGGGAATGTCTCTCCCCTCCCCCCCCGCCGCCTAAAACCTTGGGGAACAAAGTTTGCCGGGCTGTGTTGTTGACACGAGGCAGAGCGATGGGTTTGACCAGTGCTGGATTTACGTATAAGCTAAACGAGCTATAGCTCTTGGGGGCCCCAAAAAAATTTAAAGGAAAAAACCCCCTGTACACTTCCAAAATATAAGATAAAAAACAAATAAAATAAAACCTACATATAGCAACAGTGTTCTGTGTTGTGTAGGCTCCTATGATGTAAGTCACGGGCCCCGCCTGCGAGCCTGCTCCCTAAAATATCACTGGTTTGTTCATTTCTATATATAGGGTGCCTACATTCTGCATGGACTGGTTTCAGGGCAACATGTGCAAATGGCTTTAGATACCTGTTAGGTCCATCAATGACCATATAGCATATATTCAACACAAAAAACAGTGACAATTTGTTGTTGACAAAGGACAGCTGGACATATAAAAGGCCCCATTACCTTCAGTAGCTTAGGGTCTCATCAAACCTAAATCCAGCCCTGGTCTTCACTTGGTACAAGGGAGCTTTCTGTTGTTTCTGCGCACCGTTTACATTTCCCACAATGCCATGGGGTGAGAGAGCAACTCTGGGGCAAAATTAAAAGGGCGCCAAGATCTGCTCAGAATGACACCCGTCTTGCCCATTGCAAGGTGGTTCTTTTAAACTGAGATTCAGAAGTACAGTGGTACATTGGAACTCAAACGTAATCTGTTCCGGACAACCGTTTGACTTCCGAAACGTTCCGAGGCGCTGCTTGACAGCTAGGTTTTTGAACAGAGGAAACCGCATTGGACGTTTGTGTTCCAAGGAATTTTCAAAAACCGGAGCACTTACATCCTGGTTTTCGGTGTCTAAACGGAGCCATTCGAGTTCCGAGGTACCACTGTTGTAAACAAAAATTGCCCTTTTTCGCTTATGGGGTATCCAAGAGCCCATATAGAGTCCTTACATAGGTTCCCTATTGGTAGAAGAAGATAACTGAGGCCAACCAGAGAATATTGAGAAGCAAAGCAGCTAGTAAGCCTGATCTTTATTGATCTGTTGCAACAGGGTGCTCCCCTCACACGCAGGAAAGGAGGAGGACCCAGAAAAATGGCGTGCAAGGTCTTATAAAGACTTTTGAAATTGACACCCTGTAGATCAAGACCACCCCCAGAAACATCATACATACATCACAGAAGGGGTGTAACCTAAGACCACCCCTCAGATACATCATACCTACATCACAGAAAAGGCAGTCTTAAAACAGAAATTTGAATGTTGTTTTTCTCTTGTCGTTGTTTATCTCTTGTCTGGCAGGTTACTTGATTGGATTGCCTGGGGAGCCTGGCCAGTCTTTTGTAATGATAAATACTTAGTTCCTGGACCAGGTCACAGGCTCACACCCTATTCATATTTTAAATGTGCCCTTAAGACAGGATTTGTGAGGAAAGAGACAATGGGGAGGCTTTTCCATTTTCCTTTGACCTTGCAGAGAAAACATTTGCTGAGTTTAGGAATCAAAATAGTTCCAGGTCAGTCTTCCTGTGCTGATCTATGTACTTGCTTGGTTGGTACGCTTATGAACATTACCATATATCTAAGACCTCAAAATTCCTATCACACCACAAGTGAGCGAGAAGATTAAAGATTTTATTCTAAACAGCAAGCAATATATGCGTACCAAGCGAGCACTTCAACCCGCCGCTTGGAAGCTCTCAAGAAGTGGTGAAGTGACTCTCCCAGGTAGCCCCAGTTTGCACAGCCCATCAGTCCATACACGAGCTTCTCAAAAACTCTGCGCGCAACCGATTTATAGATTGCTAGCCTGTGTGTCTTGCCCGACTGGTTGCATGCAATTACTGGCTACGTGCCGATTATTTATTAGCCAGCCCCTCCCAATGCCCCACTTTCTAACTCATCGGGGACGAGGTCCCTTTGGCGGCCCCAATAAAATATTTCAGAAAATATTTCAAAAGTTGATGGGCTTTGCCATTCAAATGGTGTGTATGTGCTATCTCATGGGATTGATTATGTGGGGCAGGGCTTACCTGCTCCCCCCTCCAATATTTTATCGAAGTTGGCACCCCTGCCTTGAGAAGCGTATTTTCCAGAACCACCCTGCGAACATGTTTTGCATATCAATTCCGAATTTTCCGTTGCCGTAACCTGCTCTGGGACCTGTTGGCAAAGGGTGGGTCAGAATTTTAATAATCATAGTCAAATGAGGCTGTCGCTGCTCAGAGCCACCTCAGACTTACCGTATTTTTTGCTCTATAAGACTCACTTTTTCCCTCCTAAAAAGTAAGGGGAAATGTGTGTGCGTGTTATGGAGCGAATGCAGGCTGCGCAGCTATCCCAGAAGCCAGAACAGCAAGAGGGATCACTGCTTTCACTGCACAGAGATCCCTCTTGCTGTTCTGGCTTCTGAGATTCAGAATATTTTTTTTCTTGTTTTCCTCCTCCAAAAACTAGGTGCGTCTTGTGGTCTGGTGCGTCTTATAGAGTGAAAAATACGGTACTCAGTCATTGGCATTCGTAGCTCCCCGTTCTTCCACAGCAGTGTATCTGGCTCTCCCCCCCCCCCCCGCCTGTTTTTATCTGCACAACAACCCTGTGAGGCTGGCTTAGGACAAGAGAAGATGTTTGGCCCAAGGGGGCCCAGTGAAATTTATGGCTGAGCAGGATTTGAACCCTGACCTCGCAGGCCCTTGTCTGCCAAACCACCCCCTCCAGTGGAAAGTTTTCATGTTCCAAATGCTAATGTCTTTTTAAACAACAGCGCTCCGTTTCTTCTCTCCTTCCAGCCAAACTGGTTTGTGACGATGACGGAAACCAGTTGCTTCTGCACCACCGGGCAGAGGAGGTGAAGGTGAGACAGGAGGCGTACAGGTGAGGAGATCTTGCCTTCAGAGCTGTAGCTGTACCTGTTTTGAGTGCAGTAGGTGCCTGGTTCAACCCCCAGGTGGTTCTGGAAGAGATACATTGGAAAGCCACTGCTGCCAGCCAAAATTGGGCAAAATTGAGTTCAATGCACCAATGACCCGACTCTGTAGAGAGCAGCTTCTCCTAAATACTTGTTTTGTTTTTTAAAATATTTTTTATTGGTTTTTCCATGTATACATCCTCTAACAATATTTCTCTAACAATTTTCCATATCCCCCCCCTCCCCTGGACTTCCCTCATATTCCCATTTTGTTTTATTTCCATATTACTCACCCTGCGTGTTGTTTCCCAAAATTTTCCCAATACATACAGTCTTACTTTTTGTTATACAGTGGTACCTCAGGTTACATACGCTTCAGGTTACATACGCTTCAGGTTACAGACTCTGCTAACCCAGAAATAGTGCTTCAGGTTAAGAACTTTGCTTCAGGATGAGAACAGAAATCATACAGTGGCGGCGCAGCGGCAGCAGGAGGCCCCATTAGCTAAAGTGGTACCTCAGGTTAAGAACAGTTTCAGGTTAAGTACGGACCTCCGGAACGAATTAAGTGCTTAACCTGAGGTACCACTGTACAAAAATAATAATAATATTGATAACAGCAACAACAAAAACTCTAAACAATACCCCCACCCCAGAAGGACAGAGTTGAAAGATTTGTTTTTTGTTTTTAAAAGGGGGTGAATTTTGCAATACTAGTCCTTAAACATCTTGATTTAACACTTGTCAAGAGCTAGTCCCCCTCACTGACTTCTGAGGAGCTCACTGAGCCTGCCCCACCCAGAACAATTTACTCCAGTTTGCAGCTTAATAGCTCGAATGATTATGGGGAGCATGAATGCGGGGTGTGTTTGTGAATCCCTGCACCTATAAATCTAGCATGTCAGGGAGAAGGGTTTTAACCTCGTTTTCTATGTTCGGGGATGACGACGTTCTAGTCCGTTTCCAGGATTAAGGGTTCGAGTGCCAATCCTTGTGTTAACATATGCTCTCTGCGTTATTGAAATGATTTTACTTTTTTAATCCCCCAAAAGAAAAAGACTCCCAAGCGGCTTATAGATGGTCTAAAGAGGAAGACATCCCCTGCTTTTCAGCTTCCGATTTTTTCTAAAAGGATACAGCACAAAAAAAGTGGGAGGGAGGAAGAAATAAGCAAGCTTAGGGACACTTAGCCAAAATTGCACCATCTATGTAGAGGCAGGAAGTATTTTTGGCAGAAGCTATCTATATCTATCTATCTATCTATCTATCTATCTATCTATCTATCTATCTATCTTTAAAGGTGTTGGGGGAGTAAAAACCCTAATGGGAGAGAAACCTCCACAACCCAGAAAGGACTTACCATAACATTCTTCCTTGGTATGAACTGATGACGAACTATTGCATATCCTCCTGTGGGTTAAACCACAGAGCCTAGGGCTTCCCGATCAGAAGGTCAGCAGTTTGAATCCCCGCGACGGGGTGAGCTCCTGTTGCTCGGTCCCTGCTCCTGCCAACCTAGCAGTTCGAAAACACGTCAAAGTGCAAGCAGATAAATAGGTCCTGCTCCGGCGGGAAGGTAAACGGTGTTTCCGTGCGCTGCTCTGGTTCGCCAGAAGCGGCTTAGTCCTGCTGGCCACGTGACCCGGAAGCTGTACGCCGGCTCCCTCAGCCAGTAAAGCGAGATGAGCGCCGCAACCCCAGAGTCGGTCACGACTGGACCTAATGGTCAGGGGTCCCTTTACCTTTACCTTTTTATTCAGTAATAATAATGTTATTATTTATACCCCACCCACCTGAGTTGCCCCAGCTACACAATAAAACATTAAACATTAAAAAACTTCCCTATACAGGGCTGCCTTCAGATGTCTTCTAAAGGTTGTATAAGTTACTAATCTACCGTTGACGCGAGCTGTCCCTGTTCGATCCTGGCTGATCGTGTGATGATCTCCATTGATTGACACCCCCCCCCCAAAATCTAGCTGAACAACTCTGGGCAGTCGAATGGGTAGATCACTGCCAGTTGGTTGATAGTGGGAGTAGCTCGCAGTCTCTGGGAAGTTGGACACCCTGTCCTAAGGGAGAGCAAGACATTCTGGGATCAAATCAGAAACCGGGAAGGCTTTTGTAAATCCGGAACTGCCCCTGGAAAACAGGGACATTTGGAGGGGGTTTGCTATTGTAGAGGGTATCTCGTCTTCTGCTGTTTTGCATGAACCCACTACAACAAGATTAGTGGGAAAACAAACTTTATCCTCAATGAGGTCTAGGAGCCTGCGCAGAGCGGTAGCTAACTCCTCCAGCCTGGTTACAGCTAGGCCAAGTGCCAGATATTTAGTTGATAATGCATATATTACCAGTGTGGGGATAGAAAACCAGGGTGGAGGGGAAATGAAGGCTGAATGACTGGGATGGCGAGTAGGAACTCCCCACGCTGCAACAATTTGTTGCAGACGCCATGCCGTTATTTCGAACAGAGGGGTGTTCCAACACATTCTGAAGCGGCAGAAACCAGATGTGAGAGATTTTAAAACAAACAAACACTTTCCCAATTTTTCCAATTTTTCACAGTCAATAGCCTTGCGGCTACTGTTGCGTATAAATATAATGTCTCGTCTTCTTCCTTTAGACTTCATGGTACTATTCCCAATAAAGTGGAAAATTGGAAAAGTGGTATTATACTGACAAAAATAGAGTGGCTTGCCAAATTATTGGAGTACTACAATATATCCAAAACAATGGGAGAAATTGGAAGGATCTCAAAAGAGAAGATAGACAGGGACTGGAAGTTGTTTAAAGGATACTTGCAAAACCGTATTGAAAAATCAGAACTCTTATTAGAATAAACAAGTTCCGTTTTATATACTGGAATACTAAATAAGATGGATAACAATGTGTAATAGAAAAAGAAGCATGAAATTAGGTTAAAGGTGTGTGAAAGAAAGTAATAGAATGGAAAGAAATTGCAGTTGAGTAGATTGGAAGTCTAACACAAAGGTGGGGTGAGGGGTGGTGGATGGTGATGGGAAAAGGAATTATCTGTGGGATTGAGTGTAGGTATGTTTGAACATTTTTAAGGATTGTATGAAATGTATGTTTGTATATTCGCAATATGTGTGTATTAACGCTGAATTATTTTAACAATAAAAACTTTTCAAAAAATAATAATAAAAGAAACAAAGAAACTTCTCCCCATTGAAATCTTGATTTTAAAAACCAGGTGGGCAGAATTTGCGCCGGGGATGCCTCATTGCCTGGCTGTGGAGAACATTGAGGAGCTGAACACCAATGTGAAGTTTTCCTTTACTAAGCTCAGCACCTTTCTGTTGCGGTCAAAGCTCACGTGAGTCCTGAGGAAAGCCAGCATTGATTTTGATTTTGAATTGATTTTAGAATGTTGTGTTACTTTTATTGCTGTTAGCCGCTCTGAGCCCTGCTTCAGCTGGGGAGGGCGGAATATAAATAATAATAATAAATTGTTTATTTATTTGGCAGTCAGGATCTGGCCAGCTCTCTATCTATCATCGCAGCCAGTTATCACAATTGCCATCGGTCCTTTTGCAATCGAGGCAAGAGCAGGGAGGGGAATTTTTCCGAGCCTGAGGGCCACATCCAGTCTTCAGCAGCATTCCGAGGGCCGCAGGCCAGAGGGTGGGCAGGTCCAGAAGTAAAATTGGCGTTGCAGCGACCAATGTGCCTCTCACTTCTTTGCAAAACAGGGTGGCGGTTGCAGTCTGAGGCAGAAATTCATCCCGAATTTTCCAGGGCAGTGGCCCTGATAATGTACGCAAACATTAAAAGTGTGCATAAGAATGACTGGCAATAGCACACACAAAATGCATTATATTGGAGGGAATTGTGTTCTGTTTTGTTTTAAAAAGAGTGCATTATGCATTTAAAAATTGCTTGTTGCATTTATATTCCACCTTCACCTCCACGGAGCTCAAGTTGGGCTGTGTGGTTCTTCTCCCCCTCCTCATCTATGGCCCTTATATTTCCCTCCCCTTATGGTTTTGACTTTTAAAATGAGGCTGCATTTTAAATTGCATTTTAACCTGTATTTTTTTTTCTTTTTTCATATTACGATTTTACTGAAATTTTATTGGTGCTAGCTGCCCTGAGCTCGGCTCTGGCCAGGGAGGGCGGGGTATAAAAAATATTATTATTATTATTATTATTATTATTATTATTAGAGTAGAGCATGCACCGCCAGAGTGGTTCATGCTCTAGTTATCGCTCGCTTGGACTACTGCCATGCGCTCTACGTGGGGCTACCTTTGAAGGTGACCCAGAAACTACAACTAATCCAGAATGCGCAGCCAGACTGGTGACTGGGAGCGGCTGCCAAGACCACATAACACCGGTCCTGAAAGACCTGCATTGGCTCCCAGTACATTTCTGAGCACAATTCAAAGTGTTGGTGCTGACCTTGAAAGCCCTAAACGGCCTCAGTCCGGTATACCTGAAAGAGAGTCTCCACCTCCATCGTTCTGCCTGGACACTGAGGTCCAGCTCTGAGGGCCTTCTGGCGGTTCCCTCCCTGTGAGAAATGAGGCTACAGGGAACCAGGCAGAGAGCCTTCTCGGTGGTGGCACCTGCCCTGTGGAACGCCCTCCTACCAGATGTCAAAGAGAAAAATAACTACCAAACTTTTAGAAGACATCTGAAGGCAGCCCTGTTTAGGGAAGCTTTTAAAATTTAATAGGTTATTGTATTTTAGTGTTTTGTTGGAAGCCGCCCAGAGTGGCTGGGGGGACCCAACCAGATGGCGGGGTATAAATAAATAAATAAATTATTATTATTATTATTATTATTATTATTATTATTATTATTTAATTCCCACAGCAACCCTGTGAGGTAGGCTAGGCTGAGAGAGGCAGTGACTGGCCCAAGCTTACACCCAGTGAACTTCACAGCCTTGTAGGGATCCGAACCCTGGTTTCCCAGGTCCTGGTCTTGACACCATTGCACTACACTGAACGTTGAATTTTCTGTTGAATTTTCACGAGAGGAAACCAAAAACGGACAGGCCTTTGAGGGCAAGAGTCCGGGGCCTCACTCAACAGAATGAAAACAACCCTCCTCCCCCCCCCAAAAAAATAACACCTGGCAGGGATGTCTTACCGCATTTTGAAGTCATGTGATGTAATAATGCACGTGGGCCATCTCCTGCATCGAAGAGGGTTGGACTAGATGAGCCCTGGGGGTCCCTTCCAACTCTGCAATTTAAGTCCAAAGTCCGAAAACACTTCACTGGCCGTCACTGGGCAAACAGGCATGCTGTGCCACTTTGCCAGCGAGATTCCTGCCCCAAGGTCTCTTTCGCAAGGGGACGTGATCTAAGATGGCAGCCCCCCTTTCCAGCTCAGCCAGCAAGACAGGGTGGTAATTTGCAATGCCGAAAGCAAAGGATTGCCGTTTGAGGACCAGCCACATTCCTAGTAAGCTGATCTCCAGCTGCCCCCATTCCCCTGTTGTTAATTGTTTGCTATGAAGCAGCAAATAATTGCTATGAAGCATGTTAACGGAGAAATCCGAGGGCTCCCTTGGACAAAAAAACAAGGACCGCAGCCAGGAATACCAGAGCAAAACAGCAGCCAGTAGGCTTGGTCTTTATTGAAGACTGTCGCGACAGGACTCCCACCTGCCACCAGGTGGAACAAGATGGAAGCCCCAAACCAAAGAGAACCCAAACTTTTGTTAGCTGCTAATCCCCATGTTGGGACGCGGGTGGCGCTGTGGGTTAAACCACAGGACTTGCCGATCAGAAGGCCAGCGGTTCAAATCCCTGCGACGGGGTGAGCTCCCGTTGCTTGGTCCCTGCTCCTGCCCACCTAGCAGTTCAAAAGCACGTCAAATTGCAAGTAGATAAATAGGTACCGCTCCGGCGGGAAGGTAAACGGTGTTTCCGTGCGCTGCTCTGGTTTGCCAGAAGTGGCTTAGTCATGCTGGCCACATGACCAGGAAGCTGTACGCCGGCTCCCTCGGCCAATAAAGCGAGATGAGCGCCGCAACCCCAGAGTCGGCTACGACTGGACCTAATGGTCAGGGGTCCCTTTACCTTTACCTAATCCCCATGTTACACCCCCCCCAAACTACATCACGGTTACATCATGAAATGGGAGGTCTGGTGGCAGTAATCTGAGCATCCTGGACCCTGCCCCATGGTTCTCCTTGCCCTCCACCAAACACCCATCAAGTGTAACAAAAAAATCTTTACATTTCCCTGTTTCCCAGCCAAGTTAATCACACCCTTTTGTCTTCATCTGGGTTTGTTATTTCTGGAATGGCTACCTGTCTGGCACTCAGGTATCAGGATGCCAGGAATTATCACTCAGGCAGAGGGGCTGCTGAGCAGCTGAGCTCACATGTCTATATGAATTTCTGAAGTTTTCCCTGTGAGCCAGTACACAGATACATTGATCAGTGAATTGTTACATTTGGTATTGTGCAGCAAAGGCCCTTTGAATAGATAGGAAGAAACTGTGATGAAGTGTTTTGTGGGGACAAATCACCAAAGTCACAAAAGTGATTGTGCTGGTTTTCGTAGTGGGCTGCATGCGCATGATATCTGCTGGAGGGGCAACACCCCCCCCCACCTATACATAAATTCCTGCAACAAGCAGCAGCTGTTAACACTCAGATCCATGGTCCTCAGCTGTCGCGGATTCTTCTCTCCCCCTTCTCCCCACACCACACGGGGTTGGACTAGATGACCCTCCGGTGTCCCTTCCGACTCTTACGATTCTGTGATTCCTTTAGACTGATGGAGGTGAAGCTGAAGGGGTTCATGGACTGCCAGGAGTCTTGGAAGAAAATGGAAGACATCCGGAAGGTTTTCTGGTTCAACAAGACCCCCGTTTCCGGTAGGTGCCTCTTTGCACGTGCACAAGCGCTATCAAATACTACGTTCTTAGAAACGATCGAAGCCATTTGCCCAGGATAGAACAGGCACATTTGAAGGAGGAGCAGTTAGGATCTTTGGGATGTGGGACTCTGCTGTATACCATGGGTCCCTTTAACTCAATATTGTCAACACTGACTGGCAGCGACACTCCAGGTTTTCAGGCACAGGAAATTCCAGGCCCCTAATGGAAATGCCGTTAAGGGACATGGGTGGCCCTGTGGGTTAAACCACAGAGCCTAGGACTTGCTGATCAGAAGGTCGGCGGTTCGAATCTCCGCAACAGGGTGAGCTCCCGTTGCTCGGTCCCTGCTCCTGCCAACCTAGCAGTTCGAAAACACCTCAAAGTGCAAGTAGATAAATAGGTACCACTCTGGTGGGAAGGTAAACGGCATTTCCATGCGCTGCTCTGGTTCGCCAGAAGCGGCTTAGTCATGCTGGCCACATGACCCAGAAGCTGTATGCCGGCTTCCTCGGCCAATAAAGCGAGATGAGCGCCGCAACCTGAGTCGTCCGCGACTGGACCTAATGGTCAGGGGTCCCTTTACCTTTAGTGGAAATGCCGTTAGGGACTGAACTTGGGACCTTCAGTGTGCAAAGGAGATGCCACAGCCCTTCCCCGCCTTGCAGCTTTCTACAGGCCAAAATTCAACAGGTATAGCCTTTCCAGGAAAGGAGCTAGATTGAAGTGGGAAGCTTCCTCTCCCAGAGTCAGACCTAGCGTGTCACTGATACAAGTACATGAGCCCGGCAAGGTTAAAACAAGTGCAAACATAGTCCTAGGGTTCCTGTTCCTCAGAAGGCTTCTGGGCAGAGTTGAGGAGGAAACAGGATCCTGCCAAATATTGCCCAGTAGGTCCAGTGCTGCAGGCGGTATGCTGCAAATCGCAAACAGGCAGAGTGTTGTTGTGCTCAACTTTCGGGCTTCCCATCTACTTGGACGCTGGGCGAACAGGATGCCGGACTAGGTGAGCCTCTGGGCCTGATCCAGCAGCTAGGCTCTTCTGTCACAAACTGGTTGGATGCAGATGAGTGCTGGGGGTCACCAGCTGCCCAAGGGAAGATGGTTCAGAGCCAAGGGGGTGGGACAACGTTGAGTGGTCAGAGGTAGAAGAGGGAGCAGACTGGGAAGAGATGATGTTGCAAGCTGAAGAGGCAACAGGGCTTAGTGAGCAGGAAGAGAATGTGTCAGAGAGCAGTCCAGAATCAGAGGTAGGAGTGGAGGCTGGAGAGGAGGGAGGCCAAGAGATGAGTCCGGCTGGTGAAGAGACTCGGGTGTCTTCCCCTCCTGCTGCAACAAGCTCCCTGTTGTATTCTGAAGGCAATGGAAAGGACTGAACCCTGATTTAAGGTGCTGGTTTTGACCTTTAAAGCCCTTCACGCCTAGGACCCTCGTACCTATGGGACCGCCTCTCCCAGTATGCCCCACAGAGGACCTTAAGGTCCATAAATAGCAACACCTTAGAGGTCCTGGGCCCTATGGAAATCAGATTAGCTTCAAGCAGAGCCAAGGCCTTTTCAACACTGGCTCCGGCCTGGTGGAACGCTCTCTCATGAGACCAGGGCCCTGCAGGACCTAACTTCTTTCCGCAGGGCCTGTAAGACAGAGTTGTTGCGCCTGGCCTTTGGCTTGGAATCAACTTGATTCCCTCCCCCTCTTTCTTTTTTCCTTTCTCCTCCTGTGATGAGGCTGCATTTTAATGTTTCAATGTTTTAATGTTGTATTTTAATCTTGTTTTTAAGTTGTATTCATTCAACTTGTTTTTATTATTGCTTGTTAGCTGCCCTGAGCCCGGCCTTGGCTGGGGAGGGCGGGGTATAAATAAAAATTATTATTATTATTTATTATTATTATTATTATTATTATTATTATTATTATTATTATAGACACAAGACTCTGGGAGGAAGTGCCAATAGCCACTCCCTCGTCCAGGCCGTTTTATTAACAAAAGAACTCTTACACAGCGTTTGTAAGAAGCAATCGGATTTCCTCTGAGCATTTCAAAAAATCACCACGTGGGGACAAAGTCAGATCAGAGGAATCCTTTTAACTACAAAGAACTAATTTGAGCATGCATACATGTTTAGGGTAAATAAAACAGGAATTAAGGAGGAATGCATTTAGCAAACCCGGAGGTCATAAACAGGAAAGGAAAGACAGGCATTTTTATCACCTCCATGTGAAACTCTGTTTCCTGGCCCAAAGATTAACAAAACCACATCAATGCTACCTCCTATCTTTATGGCCCAGGATGCCTGGTGAAGCATCTGTGTACGTGACTTGTCAAGCCTAGAGAAAATGGGGCAGAGATGCAGAGGCTTGTGGGGTTGAATCAGAACTCGTGTCAAATGACCCAAGCCCAGTCAAAGCAATGCTTTCATCGCCAACACAATGGCTTGCTTCATTGTTCATAATTCCTCATAGCAATCCCACCTGACCACCACACTCCCCTCCCCACCATAGCTGTCAACCGTCCCTTATTTGGCGGGAAAGTCCCTTATCCCAGCACCGTGTCCCGCTGCTGTCCCTTAAATTTCCCGGGTTTCAAAGGAAGCAGCTCCTCTCCCTCCCTCCCTGCCGGCCAGGGAGGAGGGAGGCTCCAACTGTGTTGCTTGGCTGCGTTGCTCACCCAATAAGGAGTCTGAGAACGACTGGGGGTGGAGCTTGCATGGCTTGTGCCAATCAAATCGGCCGCCTTGCCTGGGGACTCGCCTTTACTCAGCGCTTCCCAGCGGAGAGGTGACGGTGGTTTCCCTTGCTGCATCCCCTTTGCCGGGTTGTTGCGCTGTGGGAACCACCGCTTGAGGCTTCCTTTGGCTGCTGGCTGGGCTTTCTGCCTTTGGCTCGGAGGGGCTCAGAAGTTGAACATACCTGTGCTCTGAAAATCCCTTATTTTGGCTTCTGGTCCCTTATTTTCAAATCTGTAACTTGACAGCTATGCTCCCCACTTGTCTCCCAGAACCAGAAGAGGCATGAAAAGGGCAGAGGAGTGGTTGGTTGGCTGCAGGCAGGCCCAGTCTCCAATTACTTGGGGGGAATCCTACAGAGAAGGGAACTTAGGCAGCTGTGGGGAGGCGGCAATCTTCAGTCTTGGCAACTGCTTCATGGGGGCAAGAACTTCCGGAGCTAAGCTCCTGTGCTCATTATTCCTGACACTCCTGTGCAGATCCTGTTTTTGCATTTGAAAAAAGAGTTGGCTCCATCTTGCTCGGTGTGATTTTCTGCTGGCTTGCTCTTGCCATCTAACACTCGAGAGTGGACCAGCAGCCCTGTGTTATACCCTCCCCACACCCCACCCCTGCCTCCAGTTGCGTGGCGAGTTCCCGCCCTCCCCCCGTGGAAATAAAACACATGACCCAATTATTAAGGTTAATGGGCTAAATAAGGCCACAACTTTATTGGTTACAGGTGATGAGAGGTATTGGCTTAGGCATTGGTCCTAACCGACTATATCCAACTTCAGCCCGTCCGCTTGAAGGCCAGGAAGGGTTAACCACCAGTAGGAGGAGTCCTGCTGATGCACATCAACTAGGAACTCCCCCGGTGTCACCAATAGGGGGTGTGCCTTAGGCCCTCACCTCCCCAGGCTTCGGACAGGGCCACGCCCCCCAGAATCCTTTACCGGACTACCCGTCAGTATGTGGGGCAGGTGATGGCGCTTCCTCCCCTCATCCGTCTACATAACAATACCAATGCCTAACAGCCAATACCAAGAAAGTTGTGACAATTTGCTATGAGGTAGGCAAAAAACCAAGTGGCTTCTGCCAATTTGCCAAGTATAGCTGTCAACCGCCCCTTATTTGGCGGGAAAGTCCCTTATCCCAGCACCGTGTCCCGCTGCTGTCCCTTATTGATGATGTCCCTTAAATTTCCAGGGTTTCAAAGGAAGCAGCTCCTCTCCCTCCCTCCCTGCCGGCCAGGGAGGAGGGAGGCTCCAACTGCGTTGCTCGGCTACGTTGCTCAGCCAATAAGGAGTCTGAGAACGGCTGGGGGTGGAGCTTGCAAGCCTTGTGCCGATCAAATCGGCCGCGTTGCCTGGGGACTCGCCTTTGCTCAGCGCTTCCCAGCGGAGAGGGGACAGTGGTTTTCCTTGCTGCATCCCCTTTGCCGGGTTGTTGCGCTGTGGGAACCACCGCTTGAGGCTTCCTTTGGCTGCTGGCTGGGCTTTCTGCCTTTGGCTCGGAGGGGCTCAGAAGTTGAACATACCTGTGCTCTGAAAATCCCTTGACAATCCCTGAACAATGAGGGAATGTCTTGGTATTTAGAACAGGTTTGTACAGTGTGTACAGAAGCAGAGAAAAGATTATAAGCGAGACTTCCCAGAATGCCAGAGAAAAGAAGCAATACTTCCCATAGCAAGACTTCCCATAATGCCACAGTTATGTGCAGAAAGAGAACTTCCCTTTAATTTTGGCTGCTGATCCCTTATTTTTGAGGCTGCTGGTCCCTTATTTTCAAATTTGTAAGTTGACAGCTATGTTGCCAAGTGGAAAAAATTCCTACCAGGCCCCGCAACGGCGACCAACCGAGGTCCATAGCAAGCTCAAGGACGAAAACCTTAAAGGGCGGGAGGGTGGGAAACAGGAGCAGCTGGAGGCAGCAAAAGAGGGAGATCCCCGGCTGCTCCTGCGTTAAATAGGGCAGGCCACGCCCCCTGAGCCAGCCGATTGGCTGTCCAGGGGATGACGCGGCCGGGGATTCCCTCAATCGCGCAGAGGCTGAGCACCAGCCGCCAGGCGCGTGGTGAGGGCGTGAAGCCCGCAACACCACCTCCTTTGCAGGGCGGAAGTGGATTTCTAAACGGCACTTCCCCAAACTTGGAGAGACATGTCTTTTAAGAAGCTTCTCTGCGTCCCCAGAGTACGTTGCCGATCACTGGCAAGAAGACGCTTTCTTTGGCTCCCAGTATCTCAACGGCGTCAACCCCGTGGTGATCAAGAAATGCACCCAGATCCCAAGCAATTTCCCCGTGACCCAGGAGATGGTTGCCGCGACTCTTGGGGCATCCACCACCCTGCAGGAAGAAATCCAGGTGACTCAATTCTTTCATTCCTTGCTTTTCCGAGTGAATAGTCGCTGCGTATTTCCACAGCAAAATAAGCTCCAAACTTGTCTCAAGAGGCGGCTGGGATGTCCCACCTGCCAAAGCTGTCTGCATCTTAGCAGCCAGAGAAAACTTCTCCCATCCAAAGGGATGTGTGTTGCGTTCCGAAGGCAAGGAAGGATTGGACCCTGATTAATAAAATACACACGAGGCTTGGCCAGCAAGACTCTGGGAGGAAGTTCCAATAATAATCTGTCACGCCCTGGCCCAGGTCCCTTTTATTAACAAAAGAGCTTTTAACACAGCGCTTGTAAGAACCAATCAGATGTCCTCTGAGCATTTCAAAAAAACCTACCACGTGGGTACAAAGTTAGATCAGAGAAATCCTTTCAACTACAAAGACTACTTTGAGCATGCATACATATTTTAGGCTAAATAAAACAGGAATCAAGGAGGAATGCATTTAGCAAAGCCCAGAGGTCATAAACAGGCAGTAACAGGAAGGGAAGGACAGGTAGTATTTACCATCTCCTTGTGAACTCTCTTCCTGAACTCTCTTCCTGGCCCTAAGATTAAACGGCCTCAGTCCAGTATCCCTGAAGGAGCGTCTCCACCTCCATCGTTCTGCCCGGACACTGAGGTCCAGCGCCGAGGGCCTTCTGGCGGTTCCCTCCCTGCGAGAAGCCAAGTTACAGGGAACCAGGCAGAAGGCCTTCTCGGTAGTGGCGCCCGCCCTGTGAAACGCCCTCCCACCAGATGTCAAAGAGAAGAATAACTACCAAACTTTTAGAAGACATCTGAAGGCAGCCCTGTTTAGGGAAGCTTTTAATGTTTAATAGGTTATTGTATTTTAGTGTTTTGTTGGAAGCCGCCCAGAGTGGCTGGGGAAACCCAGCCAGATTGGCGGGGTATAAATAATAAATTATTATTATTATTATTATTATTATTATTATTAGATTAACAAAACTAACAAACACTACATCAAAGCTATCTCCTATCTTTATGGCCCAGGATGCCTGGTGAAGCAACTGGTCTGTGTTTTAGAATGCTTATACGTGCCTGTCAGGCATAGAAAATGGACAGTAGAGAACATGGACAGACGGGCAGAGGTTTGTGGGATTGAATCAGAACTCATGTCAAATGGCTCAAGCCCAGTCAAAGCAACGCTTTCATCGCTGACACAATGGCATGCTCCATTTTTCATAATTCCTCATAGCAATCCCACCTGACCCCCCACAATGTGGGCTACCTGCATCAGTGACTACTGACCCTCGTGGCCATGCGCGCCCTCTGTGGCTGGAGGCAGTGGTGCTTCTGAGCACCAGTTTCTGGAAACCACATAAGTGGGAAGCACTTTTGGGCTCGGGTAATGCTTTCAGGTTTCCCAGAAGAGGCCACTGTGGCAGCAGGAAGCAGGACCAGATGGGCCAGACTAGACTCTTACCTTCTCGCCTTCTTATCACGCCGCTTTGGGCTAGCTTATTTCCATCGCGCAGCGAAGACACAAACTAGCTCTCGATTTTTCTTCCTCCCTGACCCTAAAAGAAAGGGAACGTTTACATCGTGGATTACAAGATCCTGCAGGGGATCCCGACGAACACGATTCAAGGGCAGCCGCAGTACATGGCGGACCCTCTCTGCCTCCTGTACCAGACACCTTCCGGGGAGCTCCTCCCCATAGCTATCCAGGTAAGCAGCCAGCCAGGTAAGCACGGCAGGGCGTCAGAATTGAACCCATTGAAGCCCACTCCCTGTCTCTCTGGCCACCGCAAGGCTCTTCCCACTTCTCTTGCCGCAACCTGGCCACAGGCCTTCCAATTCCTCTTCTGTTGCTTTAGGGTAAAGGTAGAGGGACCCTTGGAGGTCTTTAAGCAGAGGCTTGACAACCATATGTCAGGAGTGCTCTGATGGTGTTTCCTGCTTGGCAGGGGGCTGGACTCGATGGCCCTTGTGGTCTCTTCCAACTCTATGATTCTATGATTCTATGTCCAGTCACGGACGACTCTGGGGTTGTTGCGCTCATCTCACTTTATTGGCCGGAGCTTCCGATTGGCTGCAGGAGCTTCCTACAGCCAATCAGAAGCCACGCTTTGGTTTCCGAACGTTTTGGAAGTTGAAAGGACTTCCGGAATGGATTCGTTCGATTTCCAAGGTACGACTGTACTTGTTTCCCACAACTATGGAACCATTCAGACATGTATTCCCATACCTGCTTTCTAAGGTAAAGGGTAAAGGGACTCCTGACCATTAGGTCCAGTTGTGACCGGCTCTGGGGTTGCGGCGCTCATCTCGCTTTATTGGCAGAGGGAGCCCGTGTACAGCTTCCGGGTCCTGTGGCCAGCATGACTAAGCCGCTTCTGGCGAACCAGAGCAGCGCACGGAAACACCGTTTACCTTCCCGCCGGAGCGGTACCTATTTATCTACTTGCACTTTGACATGCTTTCGAACTGCTAGGTGGGCAGGAGCTGGGACCGAGCAACGGGAGCTCACCCCTTCGTGGGGATTCGAACCGCCGACCTTCTGATCAGCAAGCCCTAGGCTCTGTGGTTTAACCCACAGAGCCACCGCGTCCCTTGCTTTATGGTAGAGGTTGGCAACTGGCGTCCCGCGGCCAAATTGGCCCCATCAGCCTGAGGAACCGCATGGAGTAAGTAAGATGGTGAGAGGAAGGTTTTCAAAGACAAGAAGAAACGCTTCTCCCCAAAACGTCTCCTTTCCTCCTCCTTTTGCTCATGCATACCTTTCTTTCTCTGTCAGGCCTCATCCACAGCATGCATCCAAAACAATATGATACCAAACAGCCATGGCTTCCCTCAAAGGATTGTGGGAGCTGTACAGTGGTACCTCGGGTGAAGAACTTAATTCGTTCTGGAGGTCCGTTCTTAACCTGAAACTTTTCTTCACCTGAGGTACCACTTTAGCTAATGGGGCCTCCCACTGCCGCCACCACACGATTTCTGTTCTCATCCTGAAGCAAAGTTCTTAACCCAAGGTACTATTTCTGGGTTAGCGGAGTCTGTAACCTGAAGCGTCTGTAACCCGACGTACCACTGTAGTTTGTTAAGGGTGCTGGGAATTGTGAAGAGACCCCTATTCCCCTCGCGGAGATACAATTCTCAGAGTGGCTTGACAACCAATCTCTCTTGGGATTTATGGGGGGGGTCTCCCAACCATTCTTGGCACCTTTAGCAAACTACAGCTCCCAGAATCCTTTGGGGGAAGCCATGGCTGTTTAAAGGGGTATTGTAGCGCTTGAAAGGGATGTGGCCTCAGTCTCCTTCGTATTTGAGGCTACTGGTGGTGGAGAGGTTTGGCTCCCCCCAAAACAAACACAACATGCTCAGGCAAAGAAAGTAGCCACTTTGGCTCAAACCCCAAACCTGCTGGGGGGGGGGCGTTTCCCAACCTGTTGCCCCACCCTCTCTCCTCAGCCACCCCGACCACCCCATCACCAGCTCCTCTCCTTCTTTCCCTCAGCTGGGACAAACTCCAGGCCCCAACAACCCCATCTTCCTCCCCAGCGACTCCGTGTGGGACTGGACCCTGGCTAAGATGTGGGTCCGCAACGCCGACTTCCACGTCCACCAGAACATCTCCCACCTGCTCCAGACGCACCTGGTGGCTGAGGTCTTTGCTATCTGCACTCTGAGGCATCTGCCATTGTGCCACCCGGTCTTCAAGGTACGTTGGCGGCAGAGGGTGGGGGTGGGGAAGGAACAGCGTCCGGCCCGAGGGTCACGTTAGGGTTCGCACAGCCAACCGAGGAGAAGCGAGGAAAAGGTTTCGCTGGGCCTCCCTCCTGCCGTTGTGGCAGCCCCTGAGAAACCCGAAGGTCGAACGGGAGCAACTCCATCTTGAAAAGTGCCGGCGGGATGAGGGTAGAGGGGTGTGCCGCTGCCTGAGGGCGAAGGACAAGAATATGTGCCCTGCGAAAGGATCTTGCTTGCTGCGAGGCTGGGCCTGTTTTACTTGTGAGTCAAGCACAGCCCAGTACCTTTTTTGTGTTGTGACCTGTCGAGAGGTTTGCAATCACGCTTCCTGGTTTTGGGACTGAAAGGGAGCAGAATCCAGTACCTTTGCTGGAGGTTCGGCTGCGTGACTTCCAAGTCTCTCTCTAGGCCAAGAATTCCAACAGTGTTATGTACTGAAGTTCTCACCCTCGGCCAGCAGGGGGATACTGTAGATAGTTTTCACTCAGGTCCACATATGCAAATAAGGGATTGAAAGTGACGTTCAGTGATTGGATAGTTACAGAAAATGGTTACTGTTACGTTGTAGTGGAGCTCTATATAAGCAGGCTGGCTGAAGCCTCCAGTTCAGTTCTGTTCTGGCCTGTGAATAAACAAGAGCTGTTTGAAGAATCGCTGTGTCGTCTGATATGTTCACCCACAACTTAACAAACAGGTTTTCTTTCCCACCTTGCAGCTCCTGATCCCACACTTCCGATACACCCTCCAGATCAACGCTTTGGCCAGGGTCAGGCTCATCATGGAAGGCGGGATGATGGACCTGGTAAGAGAGAAGGCCCCTTTCCCCTTTTTGAGTTTGCTTGTCTGTCTGGTGCATCAGAGGCGGAGCTTAGCTGCTGTGCATCTGGGGGCGGGGCTATGGGGCGGGGCTAGCGTCCCAGGGGGGCGCCATGGCGAGCATCCCAGGGGGCAAGACGCCCATGGCGGGCTGCTTCCTGGGCGAGGAAAGAGGGAGCTACACCGCTTTGCCAACAGCCCTCCTCCCTGTCGGAATCTCCGTTCTTTCTGCTGAGCTGATAAAGCTCACCTTCCGGAATCGCCTCCGACATGATTAACGACCTGAGCCTTTGATGAGGCCTCCAAGCACGTTCCCATTACGCAGAGAATCAAAACAGGACGCGGAAGTGATGAGATTTATGGCTACATCGCTATGCTTTGTTTTCTAAGCTACGCAGACAGAAAAGAAATCATCCTCTCTCCGTGAGAGCAGAGAGCAACTGAACAACAAAGGAACAGGAAACCAGTAACGTCACATCTGTCTCCTGTCTTCCGTGAGACTTCCAACAGCCTGGAAATGTCTCTGGAATGTAAACAGAGTCTTGTGACTCCAAAGCACTGCACAGTGGCAAACAGAAACTAACACTCCCTTCCCTCTTCCTTTTGGCAGCTTGGGGGAGGCTTCCCCCCCCAAGGAGCGGGGGGCAATGGTGCGCCACCCGCCTGCGACTCCCAAGCCTCCCCCGAGCTCTCAAAACGAAGGGGGAAGGGAGGAAGGCTGCCGGCAAGGCGGCGCAGGTCCGCCCCTTTTCCCGACATCTTGGGGTAGGCTTGGGAGTCGTGGGTGGGTGGCATGCCGAATGTAACCCCCCCCCCAGTGATGATACCCGGGGCATACCGCTACCACCGCCCCCCCTTCCTCCGACCCTTTGGTGGCTCCCCCTGCCTGCTCTCAGAGATGGATTTTGAGACCCAAATGAAAAGGTGCATCCTTCTGCTTTAGCTTTCTGCACCACAGACAGATTAGCTGCCCCCGCCCCACCCCCCCCAATTTCACAAATAAGCAAGCGATGGGAGAGATGTCCATGCAGAAAAAGCTGTCTGCAGTTTGGCAGCTTTTCTTTGAAATCTGCGCCCAAAGGGTCAAATTTGGAAATGTATCTCAAGTTGTTCTCCAACTTGGACATTTTTGAACATGGGATCTTAAATCTCATGCACCTAAATGTGTCACACCAGAATCCAGCATCGTCCATGGCTGAGAACTTTGTAGCAACAACATCATATAATATAAAAATTTGCCTCACCCTCTCATCACCATCCTCTTACATCTACGATCCTTGGATCCAAAAGGAGTGAAAAAGTGAAACAAAGAACCCACAATCAGTGTGCTAATTTCCACCCTTTTACTGTCTGGTCCCCACGTCCCCTCACCCCAGCCTCCCATCTAAATCCGTCGGTGCCCGTAATTCGGAATACCGATATAGATAAAATGTTCCACGTTTTATCTTTAGAATGAGAAAGGCTTACTTGCAAATTTATTTCGCTGTGGAACTTATTTCACCTGCCTACTAAGGCTGAACCCGACAACCCTTCTCCTTCAATATAGTCATTTAGAAAAACAGCACACAATTGGAAATGGAACGAAATATACAGTGGTACCTCTGGTTGCGAACGGGATCCGTTCTGGAGGCCCGTTCGCAACATGAAAAGAGCGCAATCCGCAGCGGCGCATCTGCGTACGTGCGGGTTGCAATTCGCGGCTTCTGTGCATGCGTGTGACCTCATTTTGTGCTTCTGCGCATATGCGAGCAGCGAAAACCGGAAGTAACCCTTTCCGGTACTCCCGGGTCGCCACGGGACGTAACCTGAAAGAACGTAACATGAAGCGGACATAACATGAGTTATGACTGTAATGACCTGGTTTTCTCGCAAAGCAGGGAGCTTGAAGATAATAACGCCTTTTTTCCCTGTCCTGTCCCACCCTTCAAGTACTCACGTCTGACTGTTTCCCCTACCCCCAGGCTACCTCAGCAGGCTACAAAGGAATCGTGCCCATTGTGGGGAAAGGAACCTACAGCATGGCTTACGCCTCCCTCTGCCTCCCCGACGACATTGAGGCCCGCGGGGTCGCCTCCATCGCAAACTACCACTACCGGGACGATGGGCTGAAGATATGGGCCGCCATAGAGAGGTGACGCCGCCAGGCCTGCCTGATGGGAGCCGTAAACACCTAGAGCAGCCTTTCTCAACCTGTGGGTCCCCAGGTGTTGTTGAACTACAACTCCCATCACCCCTAGCTAGCAAGGCCAGGGCTCAGGGATGATGGGACCCACAGGTTGAGAACTGCTGATCTAGAGGGAACCTGGTTGGGGGGTGGGGCAGCTGCCATCTTGGATCAATGCCTGGCAAGGCCTCCCAGTATGCACTCTGGAGCCAGTGTGGTGTAGTGGTTAAGAGCGGTGCACTCGTAATCTGGGGAACCGGGTTCACGTCTCCGCTCCTTCATATGCAGCTGCTGGGTGACCTTGGGCTAGTCACACTTCTTTGAAGTCTCTTAGCCCCACTCACCTCACAGAGTGTTTGTTGTGGGGGAGGAAGGGAAAGGAGAATGTGAGCCGCTTTGGGACTACTTCGGGTAGTGATAAAGCGGGATATCGAATCCAAACTCTTCTTCTTCTTCTTTCTTCATGTCCCAGGTTCGTGGCCAGCCTCGTCCGGTTCTACTACAAGAGTGACGACCGCGTCCAGAGCGACCCGGAACTCCAGGCCTGGATCCGAGAGATCTTCAAGGAAGCCTTCAAGAACAGGAAGACATCCGGTGCCCCCTCGTCTCTGGAGACCATGGAGGAGCTGACCAAGTTCTTGACAATGGTGATCTTCACCTGCTCAGCGCAACACGCTGCTGTCAACTCTGGCCAGGTGAGAGGCCACATGTGCCGCATTTTTCGCTCTATAAGATGCACTTGACCATAAGACGCACCTAGATTTAGAGGAGGAAAACAAGAGAAAAAATATTCTGAATCAAATGTTGTTGAAGAGGAAGGAGGAGCGAGGATCAGGCTAAGGCTTCACAACAAGAGGCACTGCGCAGCTCTCCCTCTTGCTGTGCTGGCTTCAGCGATAGCTGCAGAGCCTGCATTCGCTCCATAAGACGCACACACATTTCCCCTTACTTTTTAGGAGGGGGAAGTGCGTCTTATAGAGCGAAATATACGGTACCTTCCTGTCCTCATCCACGCAACTGACTCCCCTCTTGCATAGATTTGGCCTCTTCTTGGGAAAATGCAGAAGATTCCTTTTGTCTCTTGAAATACGTATTATAATTTGTTATAAGAAGAAACTTCTCCTTTTCCCCTTATGGGGTACCCAAGAGCCCATAGAGAGTCCTTATGTAGGTTCTCTTTCGGTAGGAGAAAATAACAGAGGCCAACCAGAGAATATTGAGAAGCAAAGCAGCTAGTAAGCCTGATCTTTATTCAAGGAATTGTTGCAACAGGGTCCCCACGGACCCCACGCAGGGAAGGAGGAGAGGAACCCAGAACACTGGTGTGCAAGCCCTTATATAGACTTTTGAAATTGCCCACCCTGTAGCCCAAGACCACCCCCCAAAACAACATACATACATCACAGAAGGAGGTGGTCCCCAGCAGAAATTTGAGTGTGTTGCTTCTCTCCTGTCTGCCAGCATACCTGATCATTCCTTATCTGATTGCTTTTTCTGGGTAGCTTGACCATTCCTTTGAGATGGTAAATACTTAGTTCCAGAATCTCTTACTGAAATATACTCGGAGTCCTGTAGTGATTTCATGCTCTTTCTTGCAGCTTGTAAACAGTGATTGAATTGCCCCCCAAACCTCAGGCTTTTATATACATTATTCACACAATGAGTCCCTTCTGATTGGCTGATTCTGCTTCCCTCCTGGAGCCTGATTGGTCTTTTCCTGCAAGCCAATCAGCTGTTGCATTCTAGGATCCTACTTGCCTATTGTTCTAGGATCCAAGCTTAGTACATAACACCTACACATATTGATAGTGTGCTCAGCTTAACAGATACTTGCCAGGCTGTATTTGAAAAGGGATGTGTAAGCCCCTACAGTCCAAAAACAACTGGAAAGCTTTTCCCATTTCCTTCCTCCTTGCAAGGAAATATTTGAGGTCAATTTGGGAGACCCAAAATGGCTCCAGGATGCCACTTCAGACATGTGGTTTATATACTTATGTATGTGTTAGCCTTGTACATTTATGAACATTTATTATATATATATAAAGGTAAAGGGACCCCTGACCATTAGGTCCGGTCGTTGCCGACTCTGGGGTTGTGGTGCTCATCTCGCTTTACTGGCCGAGGGAGCCAGCGTACAGCTTCCGGGTCTTGTGGCCAGCATGACTAAGCCGCTTCTGGCGAACCAGAGCAGCGCACGGAAATGCCGTTTACCTTCCCGCTGGAGCAGTACCTATTTATCTACTTGCATTTGACGTGCTTTCGAACTGCTAGGTTGGCAGGAGTAGGGACCAAACAACAGGAGCTCACCCTGTCGCGGGGATTCGAACCGCCGACCTTCTGATCGGCAAGCCCTAGGCTCTGTGGTTTAACCCACAGCGCCACCCGCGTCCCTATTTTATATATAAGATCTTAGAATTCCTATAACATCAGCTGGGAAGGGAGGCTTCACACTGCCTTTTGGAGCAGCCCCATCCCAACTCCTACTTGCGTGCAAGCAGGAGAGGGCGGGGATCCCTCAGCTGGGAAGGGAGGCTTCCCATTGCCTAACTGAGAGATCCCTGCCCCCTCCTGCTTGCACGCAAGCTCTGATAGGCAGCGTGAAGCCTCCCTTCACAGCTGAGAGATCCCCGCCTCTCTCCTGCTTGCACGCAAGTAGGAGTTGAGAGGCTGCTCCGATAGGCAGCATGAAGCCTCCCTTCACAGCTTAGTTGCTGGGGTCAGGGAAGGTGGAGGCAGCCCGGAAGCTGCATCTGCATTCGAAAGCACACCAGCGCAAGTAGATCAATAGGCACCGCTCCGGCGGGAAGGTACACGGCGTTTACGTGCGCTGCTCTGGTTCGCCAGAAGTGGCTCAGTCCTGCTGGCCACATGACCCGGAAGCTGTATGCCGGCTCCCTCGGCCAGTAAAGCGAGATGAGCACCGCAACCCCAGAGTCGGCCACGACTGGACCTAATGGTCAGGGGTCCCTTTACCACTGTAGATGAAATCCGGGGACATTCCGGGGACGGAATTTGTCCAGGGACTTATTCGCGAATCCGGGGACTGTCCCCGGGAAACGGGGACGTCTGGTAGCCCTGATTTAACTTGGTCCTTTGCTTGCCCACAGTATGACTATGGCGCATGGATCCCCAACAGCCCGCCCTCCATGAGAAGACCCCCACCCACCAAGAAGGGCACAGAGACCTTGGAGACCGTCTTGGAGACCCTCCCTAAGGTCAACACCACCTGCATCGCCCTCTGCTCCCTCTGGTTGCTAAGCAACGAGGCAGGAGACACGGTAAGGATTTGGAGGGAAGGAAGGACTCGGTTAGGTACCAGATTTTCTGTGTCAAGAAACTTAGGGCCAGATCTCCCTTCCAGTTCCTTGCCAGCAATATTCTAGCTGCGGCCGTGGCGTATAAAAATAACCTTTTCTTATCTTGTGGGCTGTCCCCCACAAAGGAGGATTGGATAAACAAATTAAGTGATTTTATAGGATTGGCCAAATTAACAGCAGCCGTAACCAGAATTTGAGGAAGGAATGGCAATGTTTTGAGGATTATATGAAAAAACACTGCTCCAAAGGTAATGTGTTGATATGCCTAGATTAAGTATGTAAAGACGAATCAATCTAAAACGAAAATTAACAATGGATAGATAATGATTAGTATGAAGACACAATGTAAAACAGACATTATTGTTTTAAGGATGTAAAGTTGAGGTGGAGGGAAGCCACACAGGTGTATAATTTTTATTATTTGATGAATACAGGTTTTGAATTGGTAAATTTGTAATTGTAAGATTATGTATTTGTAGTTTTTTGTTTTGTTTGTGTTTTTTCATGATAATAAAAACTTAATAATAATGATAACAAAAAGAAACTTAGGGCCAGATACACACCATATATTGAAAGCACATTCAATGCACCTTTAAAGCACATGACTTCCCCCAGATGATACAGAAAACTGTAGTTTGTTAAGGGTGCTGGGAGTTGTAGCTCTGTGAGGGGAAAGCTCCATTTCCCAAGATTATTTGAGGGAAGTCATGTGCTTTAAATGTTAGTCAAATGTGTTCTGAATACAGTCGTACCTTGGAAGTTGAATGGAATCCGTTCCGGAAGTCCGTTCAACTTACAAAATATTCGGAAACCAAAGCGCAGCTTCTGATTGGCTGCAGGAAGCTCCTGCAGCCAATCGGAAGCCGCAGAAGCCCCATCGGACATTTGGCTTCCAAAAATAGTTCACAGACCAGAACACTCACTTCCAGGTTTGCGACGTCCGGGAGCCAAAATGTTCGAGAACTAAGCTGTTTGACTTCCAAGGTATATGTTGTGGATCTGCCCTTAGCGCTCCGTGTTTATATCTAAACTCTTGAATTTCAGCCTCAAAATGGAATTTTTGCAAAATTATTAGTCTAAAAAAACAATTTCTTCTTTGGATTCTAATAAATCCCACAAAGAAAAGGTACACAAGAGAAAAAATGGATGAGAACCACAAACATTAAAATGCCTGTTTCAAAACTCCGTGAAGAATAATATCAGGCAATACTATCGAAACTCTTATTTTCCGCACAATCATTATACAATTGTTAATTAAAATGAATTATTGTGGGGAGAATAAGGGTTTCAACAGTATGTCTGATGATTGCTTTAAATTAAGGTCCCTTACAAATTTGAATAATAGGATTGATAACTTTCAGATCTTACGAAGTCATAAAACACTCAAATCATTAACTCAAAGACACAAATCTAAATATTTCTTATTAGCTTACATTGGGGGACTGCATTTAAGTACAGGAGGGAAACCTGTGGCCCTCCAGATGTTGTTAAACTCCAACTTCCATCAGCTCCCAACCAGCATAGGCAGTGATCATGGATGATGGGAGTTGTAGTCAAGCAATATCCGATGAACCACCAGCTCAACATCCCTGCATTCCAGCAGTCTACATTTGGCCTAGTATTGCCATTAAAAAACCAGACGAGGACAAAAACTTGACTTTGTTGTGAATATTTCCAAATGTGGGGGTGTCCAAGGAGTTTTACATTTGTGTTTTAGGATTACGAATGTGAAAAGTTCACTGCAATTTAAATGGGAGTTTGAGGCACGGTCTTCACCACTGATTTCTCCCGAATCTTTTCCAGAGACCTTTGGGCCACTATCCCGATGAACATTTCACTGAGGACGAGCCAAAGCGGCTCATTGTGGACTTCCAGAACGACCTGGCTAAGATTTCTGAGGAAATCAACGAGAGGAACAAGTCGTTACCCCTCCCCTACAACTACTTGAACCCGCCTCAGATCGAGAACAGCATCTCGATTTAGGTCTCGGGCGTGGTTAGCAATGTCAGCCTGACCTGCGTTACAAAGTCGGTCCGTCTTGTAACAACGCTAAGCTATATTACGAGTTGATTCCTCTCAAAAGTTCTTCTCCGGCTCAGAATGTAAAACGAGACACTGCAAGATCCCCTGTCTTCTGTATGTAGTGCACTAGGCATGTAGATGTTCGTCAGTGTTTAAGATTTTTCCTCCCATCGAACTCCTCTCTGGCTAATGTGAAGTTACATAAACTGAAAGGCACCTTCAGACTTTTTTTAACGGTAATTTTCGTTGAGACCCTCTTGTTGATTCTGTGAACTAAGGCTGCATCCACACCCCATAAATCTAATGGAACTTACAATCTTTACATTTATAGGATTGCTTGCAAGTGATCGTAGAGTGCCCTCTCTATTCAATCGATTGCTTGCTACCAATGTGCCTACTGCTCCCTGTTCATGTCTAGAAAACCCTCTTTACCTATTCCAAGGTAACTGACCAAATAGTGATCTCTTTGGCATCTGAAGAGAGGGCGTTCCACAGGGTGGGCGCCACCACCAAGAAGGCCCTCTGCCTGGTTCCCTGCAACCTCACTTCTCGCACACTGACCATTAGGTCCAGTCGTGACCGACTCTGGGGTTGCGGCGCTCATCTTGCTTTATTGGCCGAGGGAGCCGGCGTACAGCTTCCGGGTCATGTGACCAGCATGACTAAGCTGCTTCTGGCGAACCAGAGCAGCACACGGAAACGCCATTTACCTTCCCGTTGGAAGTATTTATCTACTTGCACTTTTGACGTGCTTTCGATCTGCTAGGTTGGCAGGAGCAGGGACCGAGCAACGGGAGCTCACCCCGTCGTGGGGATTCAAACCGCCAACCTTCTGATCAGCAAGTCCTAGGCTCTGTGGTTTAACCCACAGCGCCACCCGCGTACCGACAGTTTGGGGAGGAGGGGCAATTAAAATGTGCAAGGGGCTTTGTCCTGTGCCTGATGCCGGGAACTACAATTCTTAGTGGAGACAATACAAAAAGGCACATTCATGTCTGTTCCAGCATCATAACTTAGGGGAGAACTTTCAGACAGCAAATGAGCTTTACCCCAGAAGTCCTCCAAGAAAGCTGTTAAATGCCAAACTGAGCCGAGCCGATTCTGCCATGAGTTGGGGATAGTCGTCCTGGCTGTGAATGCTTAAACGACTGTAGGAAGAAGGCCCATCAAGAGCAAGTCATTGTAGACCAGGGGTCAGCAAAGTTTTTGTGGCTTGGGCCTGTTCACGGTCCCACAGATGCTGTAGTGGGCCGGAGTGCGCATGTGCAAACACGATTTCCAGCGCTCCTTCCAGTGTGGCAGGGGTCCATGGGCCTTAGGTTGCCAATCCCTGTTGTAAGACAGTCCACCAGAGCATAGCTGTCAACCGTCCCTTATTTGGCGGGAAACTCCCTTATCCCAGCGCCGTGTCCTGCTGCTGTTCCTTATTGATGATGTCCCTTAAATTTCCCGGGTTTCATGCTCGCCCGGCTCGGGAGGGAAGCAGCAGCTCGAGGTCCTCTGCTGCGAGAGAGAGAGCGCGCTGGCGCCATCGTTCTGGCGCAAGGAGTTCTATCGGCCCTTCCCCACCCGAGAGAGGGGGGGAGGGAGAGAGAGACTCTCGCCCACGCCGCCCGCGAGCCCGGAGGCGGCAGCTGTGGTGGCAGCTGAGGAGGCGGCTTGAGGGAGGAAGAAGAGGAGGGGATGGGGAGGAACACAGAAGGGCAGCCGCCGCCGCGGCGCAACCGCCTCATGCCGGATTGACAGCATCTGTCAATCCTACCAATGTATGTAACTTTACAATAGCAAAATCCCTTATTTGGGCTGCTGATCCCTTATTTTTGAGGCTGCTGGTCCCTTATTTTCAAATCTGTATGTTGACAGCTATGCACCAGAGCAGCACACTCCCTTTCCTCTCAGATTTTCAGGCACCTGACTACTGGCCACGATGGCTATGCTCTGCTTCCACAGTAACTCTTCTGAATACCAGTTGCTGGAAACCACAGGAGGGGCAAGTATTGCGTGGTGAGTTCCCGCCTCCCCCCGGTAGAACCGGAGCAGCTGAGCGGCAAAAGAGGGAGATCCCCGGCCGCGCCTGCATTATATAGTGCAAGCCACACCCCCTAGGCCAGCCGATTGGCTGGCCAAGGGATGACGCGGCCGAGGATTCCCTCAATCGTGCGGAGGCTGAGAGCCAGCCCCTGCGCACATGGTGGGGGCGTGAAACCTGCAACACCACCTCCTTTCTAGGTCGGAAGTGGCTTTATTGTGTTCGAATCCTGCTTTCGGGTTTTCCAGAGGCCTCTGGGTGGCTCCTGTGAGAATAGGTTGCTGGACCAAACTGGGGCATCAGGCTGATCCCACAAGGCTCTTCTTATGTTCTTAACGTACAATCAGTTGGCCTCAATGTTAACTTTCACAGGCTCTTCAAATAGCCCAGTTGGTTAGAGCGTGGTGCTGATAACGCCAAGGTTGCAGGTTCGATTCCCCATAAGGGACAGCTGCATATTCCTGCATCTGCAGGGGGTTGGTCTAGATGATCCACAGGGTCCCTTCCAACTCTGATCTATGATTCTATGATATGTGACTCAATAAATAAAATAAGTGTACAAACACAGTCCTCTGCCTACTGAATCCAAATGAAAATGAGGTGCATCCTTTCGGATTGGGGTGAGGCATTTCAAAGGGGCAGGGCTGAGATTGCCGTCGTGATTTCAGGGCCCAGTTGTACAGAGTCCAGGACACATTTCAGATTTAAAGCCAAACAGCCCCATGCATTTTAAGAGAAGCTTGTCATTGTTTCCTCTTCTTTAGAAAAAGTCAATATAATACTTAACCATTAACCTGTAAGTGAAGGATTTGCATCTTACGATACGATAATCTTTATTGTCATTGTCCCATCTTTATTGTCATTGTCCCATACAGAACAACGAAATTGAAAAAATCTACATCAGACATTCAAAAACCAACAAGCCTGCTATCCCAGATACCCCAGCCTGGTTAACCCCCTAAAAACTCTGATACCCCATAATTAAATACAATATACTCCTGCACTTAAAACCAAAATCGCATTTGGATAAAAACTGTTTCTCAGGCGGCTAGTCCTAGTCTTTATAACCCTGTCCCTTCTTCCAGAAGGCAGAAGCTGAAAGAGATCATTTCTGGGGTGTGCACTATCCTGCGCTATCTCTGCAGCTTTCTTATGGCACCTGGAAGCGTAGATTTGATCCAAGGTGGGAAGAGTGCACCCAGTTATTCTCTCCGCAGTCTTTACAGCCCTGGATGGCATTGTATTTTCCCTGACCGTGCAGCTCCCAAACCACACACACAGACCATAAGTTAATATACATATACATATACCCTGGGTTCACAGAGGCCATTTCCATTCTTTGTCACTCCCTGTGTTGACAGAGAAATCGAGGCACTCCTAGTCACATGAGCTTTGGATGAATCAAAACCAAGCCGTGTGTGGGAATAGGGCTCAGCGCCCTAATTAACGATTAGGAGCAGGAGTAGTTAAGATGAAATCGTGCTGTGGGAGGCAGCAGAACAGCTAGGTTGGGTTGAGTGAGCCAGGCCACACATGAATCACAGCAACCTTTCCCAACCTGGTGCCCCTCCAAGTTTGCTGGAATACAACTCCCACCAGCACCAGACAGAGCCATAGTCTGAAATATATGGAGGACACCTGGCTAGGATTGTCATTACAGGGATGGTTCATCCATCCATGGTCTGAGGCAACTCAGGAAAAAAACAAATTGACCTCACAGACCTGATTAGAAAGCAGGTATGCGGGTGGCGCTGTGGGTTAAACCACAGAGCCTAGGAATCCCCGTGACGGGGTGAGCTCCCATTGCTCAGTCCCAGCTCCTGCCAACCTAGCAGTTCAAAAGCACATCAAAGTGCAAGTAGATAAATAGGTACCACTCTGGTGCGAAGGTAAATGGCGTTTCTGTGTGCTGCTCTGGTTCACCAGAAGCGGCTTAGTCATGCTGGCCACATGACCCGGAAGCTGTACGCCGGCTCCCTCGGCCAGTAAAGTGAGATGAGCGCCGCAACCCCAGAGTCGTCCGCGACTGGACCTAATGGTCAGGGGTCCCTTTACCCTTTACCTTTATGGGAATGCATGTCTGAATGGTTCCACACTTGTGGGAAACAAGTACAGTCGTACCTTGGAAGTTGAACGCATCCATTCCGGAAGTTCGTTCGACGTCCAAAATGTTCGGAAACCAAAGCGCAGCTTCTGATTGGCTGCAGGAAGCTCCTGCAGCCAATCGGAAGCTCCGTCGGATGTTTGGCTTCCAAAAATTGTTCACAAAGCGGAACAGTCACTTCCAGGTTTTGATCATTCGGAGCCAATTTGTTTGGGATCCAAGATGTTCAAGATCCAAGGTACGACTGGACAGGCAACTCCCCATTTAGGCACGGGTTGTGATCTGAGGCACCGCATGTTTATGTGAAATTGTGTATATTGAGAACACCATTCAAATAACCAAAAAGCCACCAAACTCCACCACAGTCTCTCATCCTCCTTGCTCAAATTCCCAACCCTTCACTGGTCTCAAAGGTTGGTGCAAAGACTCCTGGGGTTGCACTTGCAAAGGCTTGTGGGATTGCTAGACACTATTTTCACACCATTTTTGCGTTCTTTTAGGGCTGTTCCCCCCCCTTTCATGCCAATTCCAGGTTTGCAGCATGCCTCCAACAGATGAAAATGGGGAGTTGCCTGTATCCCAAGGAGTCGTCTAGGCTACCTTGACAGACAAGCTTTCCCTCCAACCGCAGAAACTGAGCAGGAACTCGCCTGCTACATCACCCTCCATAGCCACCAGGTGGCGCCACTACTCCCCCTCTGACTACATGGCTCTTTCTCGTGTTTTCCAAATTGCTTAAAATTTGGGTATAGAGAGAGAAATGTCTCCCATTCCTGGCAAATGAACCCAGAGCAGGGACTCTTGGGGTATGCTCAGTTTGCTGAACGTACAGTAGCCCGAGAAAGCGTATGTACTGAGGCCAAGTTATCTTTCCACAATGGCCAACACTGATGCCAAAATCCAGCATCACCTGAGCTCTGCGAGTGCGGCTTTCTCCCAAATGAAGTGCAGAGTGTTTGAGGACCGGGACATTCGCAGGGAAACCAAAATGCTCATTTTCAAAGCTATTGTACTACCAACCTTACTACCGTATATGCTTGTGGAACATGGACCACTTATAAACACCATCTCCAATTCCTGGAAAGATTCCATCAACGGAGTCTCTGAAAATGCTTACACATCATTTTAGGCGCCACTACCGAGAAGGCCCTCTGCCTGGTTCCCTGTAACCTCACTTCTCGCAGGGAGGGAACCACCAGAAGGCCCTCGGAGCTGGATCTCAGTGTCCAGGCTGAACGATGAGGGTGGAGACGCTCCTTCAGGTATACAGGACCGAGGCCGTTTAGGGCTTTAAAGGTCAGCACCAACACTTTGAATTGCTTGAAAACATACTGGTAGCCAATGAAGATCTTTCAGGACTGGTGTTATATGGTCTTGGCGGCCGCTCCCAGTCACCAGTCTAGCTGCCGCATTCTGGATTAATTGCAGTTTCCGGGTCACCTTCAAAGGTAGCCCCACATAGAGAGCATTGCAGTAGTCCAAGCAGGAGATAACTAGAACATACAACAACAACAACAACAACAACAACAGTGTGTGTGGCTTACCAAGGCCCCACAGCCCAATCTAGGGGTCTGATTTGCCCTCTTGTATTGCTGCCTGCCTGAGACTGCAGTGGGGTGGGATGGGGGGTGGGAACAGGAAACAAAACCCCACAAGGCCACAACGTGAGGCAGATATAGGGCATTGCATCTGGCAGCTCGCAAGCTGCTTCTTCGGGAAACTTGTGACAAACCGTGGTTTGGAAAGCAGGGGAGGAAGGAAGGCACGAGAGAGTCATGAGTCTGGTTTATTACCGTATTTTTTGCTCTATAAGACTCACTTTTTCCCTCCTAAAAAGTAAGGGGAAATGTGTGTGCGTCTTATGGAGCGAATGCAGGCTGCACAGCTATCCCAGAAGCCAGAACAGCAAGAGGGATTGCTGCTTTCACTGCGCAGCGATCCCTCTTGCTGTTCTGGCTTCTGAGATTCAGAATATTTTTTTTCTTGTTTTCCCCCTTCAAAAACTAGGTGCGTCTTGTGGTCTGGTGCGTCTTATAGAGCGAAAAATACGGTATTTTATAAAGGAGGTCTTGAATGAGGAAACGTTTGGGCTGGGCCAGTTGCTGGAAACCACCAGAGGGCTGAGGGCTCTTGCGTTCAGTTCCTGCTTGTGGGTTTCCCATTAAGGCCCCATAGCTGGCTTGTGAAAAGAGGACGCTGAACTAGATGGGGGGTGAGGGAGGAATTAATATCCTGTTAACATTAAGAAAGAAAATCACAGATCAATACCTGAAAAGCCATGTCCTTCCCAACAGGACTTGCAGGGTGTTAAGATCAGCAGAGGGGTACCGACGAAAGAAGAATAGCAGACAAAATTAATGGACTATGCAGAATAGGATAAAATGACAGGAAGGATTCGAAACCTGCGGGACCAGAGATTTACAGAAGATTGGAAGAAATATACGAACTATTTGAAGAGCAACTGTAATCAGCAAATTACGCTGGTAGGACTGTAAGAAGTTTTGTAAGGAGAAATATATGAAATATTGCAAAGAAGAGAAAGAAGAGAGACATTAGTTATGGTATTTAAATGTAATAGTGAAAGTAAGAAATGTAAATTAAGTGAAAAGATCGGAAAATGTTCAGATGTGATTGATGGAAGTCAAAAAGATTGTATAAGATATAAAAGTATGTTTAATAATTGTTGAAAATGATAAGTTAAAACACACACACACACACACACACATATATATATCAGCAGAGGGGGGCCTTTTGGTTGTTTCACCTCCCTCAGAAGTTCAGGGTTTGGGAATGTGGCCTGGGAGAGGGACTTCTCTGTGTTGGCCCCTAAACAGCAGAACTCCCTCCCCACAGAGGTATGCCTGGCACCTCCCCTCACATCCTCCATCAAATGCTGAAGATTCCCCGCTTTACACCTGGGCCTTTGACACCTGAGAGCACCTGTGTTTCCAGGGACCACCCTATTCCTGTCACTGCAATCTGTTTTAACTGTATTTCGTTTTGAAGGTTTAAATTGCTGCCACCTGCGTTGAGACGTGCTGACAAAGGGCAGGGAATATATATATTGATAATAATAGGGAAAATTCTACTATCCAGATCGAGGGAAGCCATAGTAGCACTTTATTCTTCTGTCTTGGTGATATACCACCTGGAGTCCTGTGTCCAGTTTGTTGTTGTTGTTGTTTAGTTGTGTCCGCCTCTTCCTGACCCCCTGGACCAGAGCACGCCAGGCACTCCTGTCTTCCACTGCCTCCCGCAGTTTGGTCAAACTCCTGCTGGTAGCTTCGAGAACACTGTCCCACCATCTCGTCCTCTGTCGTCCCCTTCTCCTTGTGCCCTCCATCTTTGCCAACATCAGGGTCTTTTCCGGGGAGTCTTCTTCTTCTCATGAGGTGGCCAAAGTCTTGGAGCCTCAGCTTCAGGATCTGTCCTTCCAGTGAGCACTCAGGGCTGATTTCCTTAAGAATGGAGAGGTTTGATCTTCTTGCAGTCCATGGGACTCTCAAGAGTCTCCTCCAGCACCAGAATTCAAAAGCATCCATTCTTTGGCAATCAGCCTTCTTTATGGTCCAGCTCTCACTTCACGGATCACTACCTTGCCGTGGTGAAGGGGCTTGAATAACTCAGATAAGCTATGAGCTATGCCGTGCAGGGCCACCCAAGATGGACAGGTCATAGTGGAGAGTTTTCACCAAACGTGATCCACCTGGAGCAGGAACCGGCAAGCCACTCCAGTATCCCTGCCAAGAAAACCCCATGGACAAAGACAACCCTAGGATAAGGTAAAGGTAAAGGGACCCCTGACCATTAGGTCCAGTCGTGGCCGACTCTGGGGTTGCGGCGCTCATCTCACTTTACTGGCCGAGGGAGCCGGCATACAGCTTCCGGGTCATGTGGCCAGCATGACTAAGCCGCTTCTGGCAAACCAGAGCAGCGCACGGAAATGCCGTTTACCTTCCCGCCGGAGCCGTACCTATTGATCTACTTGCACTTTACGTGCTTTCGAACTGCTAGGTTGGCAGGAGCAGGAACCGAGCAACGGGAGCTCACCCCATCGCTGGGATTCGAACTGCCGACCTTCTGATCGGCAAGTCCTAGGCTCTGTGGTTTAACCCACAGCACCACCCGTGTCCCTTCAACCCTAGGATAGCCATCTTCAAATATCAAATTGCAAGAAAGGAGATTGAGACTAAACATTAGGAGGAACTTCTCTGATGTTAAGAGCTGTTTGATAGTGGAGCGGACTCCCTGGAAAGGTGGCGAATTCTCCTCTATTGGAGTTTTCGAAACAAGGGTTGGTTGGGTGGCTGTCTGTAGGGGGTCGTACGAGATGACATTTGACGGCACCTTCCAACTTTACAGTTCTGTTACAGCAACAGCGACACTCATGTGAAAATGTATTGCAATATTCATCTTGCTCCTGCTGTGCTCATCTAAGCCAGAGAGTTTCATGCAACAAGTTGCTTGTGTGTGTTTGCAGGGATGTGAGGGAGTGCGCAATGAGGCAGAAAGTTATGAAACAGTTACACAATCAGCCGGTGCGTTGGTCTTTCTGCATTTCGTTCTGGGAGCAAATCTCTCTTATTGTCGCCACCGAGTCCAGAAGTGGTCACAGCAGAACTTTTGCAGCCGAGACCCGGGGAATCCGATCTGAGCCACACCCTTCCCATCGCAGCAGCTGCTGCCTGTGGCCTAAACGGCTCTGGAGGAGGGTTGAGAGAGGAGGCGGGGTATTTGTGGGTGCAACAGCCCTCGAGGAGGAGCAGGCGAGGCTGTTCATACCTGCCTCGGCACCGGCACCGCACAAACCCTGTGCAATCGGAGCCTCGTCTCGCCTCTTCCCAAATGGCTGCTTACAAGGTCCAGGTAGCCACCGGAGACATCCTGTTGGCTGGCACCTACAGCAGCGTCTCCATCACTCTGGTGGGGGCTCGTGGGGAGAGCTCCAAACATCGCCTGGACCACCAGGGCAGAGATTTTGTCCGTGGGGCTGTGAGTACCAAGAACGAAGAAGATCAGGGCTGGGGGGGGGGGTTAAGGTGGCAAACTGGGCGTCCTCTCAGGGCTGGGGGCATCTCAGGTGAACGCTCCTCACTGCCCGTGGGGCGGGGTAAATGGGCAAGTGGTTGCTTCTTGTTTTGGGGTGACATATGCTGTCGCTTCTAGGTCTCAACGGGAGAAGGTTGTAGGAAAGAAACTGCAAACGCCATGCTTGGGGGAGACTTGGCCAAAGTGTCATTTGGTGGAGGGAGTGTGATGTCAAACTGTTGGGGAGTCGCGGCGCCTGCTGGGGCTGCCGTGACCGATATGGGAGAGACATGTTTTGTTGCAGCTGGGGCAGGCGAAGGTGTCCGGTTTCTTCTCTCGGCACTTTGCCCAGAGGTCATTCCTCTCCTGGTCACCGCTGTGGGTGTACAACCTGGCTGTTGTCTCCTGTCGGTTGACTGAAGGGGATGCCCACACGGTGGGG